CCGGCCTCCAAAACACATAATGGGGAGATACTATCAGGAGGCGTGGCGTGGCGGACGTGTAATTGTCATGTAAATTGACACAGCTCCCCTCGAAATTGTTATCATTTATCCAGGGGGGGAAATCCATCAAATACCCCCGAGTGGTATCCTAAGGAATCATAAGGAAGTGAAATCTGCAAGAGACCCCATTGTGGGCCCCCCAGACCGCCCAGGCAGCAGAATGGGTGTTAGGTACTTTCCCCACGGGCCAATTCCCAAATGTGCAATTTCCTCAAAGTTAAGTCAGGCCTTCTGAGGCGCCGCAGGCTGAAATGGGAGGGGGCGAGCGCTGCGGCTAGGACAGACTTGAGAAGTTACCGGTAGGGAATAAGGACATTTAGGAAGTTGCCACTTGGGAAAATACCTTAGAAAAGTTGCCGATTGGGAAATTGCCTAACATCCTAGAGGGGGAGGGGGGCTTAAAATACCCATGAGTGGTATCCAACTCTTACCTTGTATCAATCTCGTCCCTGACCCCTGCGTACGTGAGCATCTGGTTGATGAGACACGTGAGAATCTTGAGCTTGTCTCCAACTGGTAGTTCAGAAACTGTGCACGTGTTCAAGGAGCGAAGGATTTGTGGTTCCTCGCGGCAAAACTGGAATCCAGGATCATCACTAGAGAGAAGAACATTTTGGTAATAAGAAAATTAATACGTCTTAACCTCCCCTTTATCTGAACTCTCTGAATTAAGGAAAAATAAAAGGGGAAAAAAATTGGAATGTCTGCCTTTGATATTTTCAAACATCTTTCCCCCAAACTATATACTGCTGCCTGAATTGTGAATCTACTCTTAACTTTGCTGGAGTATCAATAATAAATATATCTAGGTTCAAAATACTGCGGTCTTAAAATATTAGCATCTAGTAGAACCTCGCGATATTCAGAATCTAAATTAAGAAAAGGAAGTGACATAATGTGATATGTTTGGAAGGACATTCAGGGGTAAATATTCCCCTAAAATAGAAATCTGAAACCTCGGCAATCCGTCCTCGCCTAGTATGTGCGGAGATCCAGAGGATTCCCTTCTTTAGAGGCTAAAACAAATTAACAGTTAAAAATCATCTTAATCTATATATATATATATCTCCTTAATAAGTCTGAAACCCCCTCTCTGTTGAAATCTCCAGTTCTGAAGATTTATTCCTCTAAAAGCACCGCTGGATTCTAAAATAAAAAAGTTCAACTAGAAAAAAAATTATTAAATCGATGTTAATGCATAATGTTGAAAAAATCAATTATCAATTCAGAAAATAAAAAAATTTCATAAATAATTAAAAAAAATGTTGCAAAGGTTTAATTAAATCCTATAATGTAATTTTCTAATATATGAAATCAGATTGCAAGGACCCCTATTTCAATGTAGAAAGATTACAATAGTTAACATTTGCAATCTGTATTAGAAGATTCTTAGTTATGCTTCTGTAAGTAAAATAAAGCAGATTTAATATATTATTATGAATTGAATCGAATTAAATTCAAGTAGCTAAGGATTTCCCATGGATTCCTTGATCTAACAGGGGTACATTTTTTCCCTTTCAGTTCACATTTTTTTTATAATTTACATTTTTTACGCTATCTGACCTAGATGAAGGCGCAGAACCTCTGTGAGAGACCATATGTCGAGGTGACAATCCCGCAGAGCCAAACCAAGATTTTTCTACAAAAATGATTGGAGATTAATTATTGAAAAAAAGGATTTTTCAATTTTTTTTTTAATTACATGGAAGTTATAGTGTGTTTTTCCTACATTTTTCTATCTTTAAAATAACAAGATAAATATCTTAACAAAAAAAAGGGTGGGGGGGCATACCTTTGTATAATTAGCGGTCTCTGTTGCTGCTTTGATTGCTTGAGCCACCTCTTCATCCTTCCCTAGAACACCCTCGTTCTCTTCCAGCACAGACTTGTCAGAGTCACCCTTTGCTTCCTCGGTCTCTTCAGACTAAACATTAATACTGTCACATCTCAATAAACATGGATCATGTCCGAACAATCATTAGTCATGTTTGAATGACAATCAATCATCAATGATCAGCGATCATTCCTCTATGATCGTCAATCATTTATCAATGAAAATATAAGTCTTATCAATGATAACATTCCCCAAATATTGCTGATTATTTTGTGTGCATCAAAGACGATGCCAAAACCATAATAAGAAGCATTGCTTAAGATCCATTTGGCTTCTTGGATCCGGATCCGGATAATAAATTAACAAAAATGTCCAAACTTCTAAATGGTTCACTACGTTTCAGCATAAAAAGCGAAAAAATAAAATATAAAAACTTTTCATGTTAAAAAATCAGTAAATCTTTAAGAAATGTTTAAAACCTTGATCCTGATCCGCATCAAAATGGAATGGATACTGAGCACAGTATGAGACTGTCATGTTCCTACCTGAAGATCGAAGAGTGTGAGAAGCATAAAGCTGAGGATATCGAAGAATGCTCCGTCAGGAACCTCCTGCTCTGTCAGAGCAGTCTCTAGCTCATGGAACGTTAATCCTCCGGGATAGTTATCCTAGGAAGAAATAACTCATGGTTTACGGGACGAAAATTAACAATATTAATTTTAAAAATAACATTATTTTCGGAGAAAAAATAATATTTGTGATATAGGTCACAAAACTAAAAAATAATAAAATTGACTATTTATCATAATTTAAATAAATTCATTTGTCAACAATTTTGCTCTTTGTGAAACGGTGCCTTTCCATTGGAGCCGAAACATTTTGGCTTCCTGGTTCCGGATTCAAAAAAAAAATATGCGGATCCACGAATCAAAATCTAAGGGGCAAAATAGCTGCTAAAAATTAACTTTTTGCCCTTAAAGCACAAATTCCAAATATACAGTATATATTTAAAAGTCCAATTTCTTAGTCGTGCTACCATAGATTGTATCTGTCTAACTGCTCTGACAGAGCGGTACCAACGTGTGACTATTGTAGTACCTACGGTACCACGACCAAGAAATTGGGCTAACTTTAATCCTCACTCGCAAAAAATTACCTTTAACGACAATATTTCAGAGAATGAATTAAGGAATTCTAGAATAGAGACGAATTCCCCAAACAACTGGTTAGGAATATGACACCGAACAGGAATAGGTTTGGGCAGCTCCTTTAGATCTTCACACTCCAAATCCTCACGACGTCGGGACCAACCCTAAACACAAAGTATTAAAGGGACTGTAAGCGTAATTTTAAGTGACCCTCCATGCAAAGATAACAAAGCACGATTTTTATATGTACCCTCAAGTATGAATAAAATTGGCATGTTTTTTTAAATTGTTTAATTTATTCGGGGTTTCTCTTCATCATTTCTTGTTTAGAGGAAACAATGGAGAAATTTACTGAAATAAACACTTTTCCAAAAAACGACGTTATCTTCCACATTTTGTTTTATCAGAGTAAGGTTTCAAGGGTACTGTTGTTAATTGGGCATATTGTTATCTTTGCATGGAGGGTCTGTAACGTGTAGCATCTTTGTCCATAAAAGCGGTCTAAAACTAATATCTTCAAACTGTCACATACTTTCAAGATAAACTCCAGAACAAATCAATTAATATAATTTTTGGGAAAAACAAACTATAAATGAACAAGGACGGTTCTAATGACATACTTAAGGGGATAATAGTTTGGCTTCTAGATGTTTCATTTCAGATTTTCATTCTGATAGATCAAATCAAATTAAGTTTAAATCTGAAAGGGAACCCAATGTGTACCCCCAGACTGCCTTCAGGACACCATGCACCACAGTGCAGATAGCGGCCTGGAGTCCAAACCGGCCGAGCGCACAAATTTTAATTTTAATTAGGACACACACAGTCAGAGATGTCATCTGGACTACCATTGTAGGAATTGTAGTGTTGAAAAGGAAACGGATCCCAGATAAAGGGAAATGCAATAGGTGACATAATTACTGGATGATTACCTGGATTAGTTCTTTAATAATCTTCTGTTCTTCCTTCTTCCTCTTGTTCTCCTTTATCCTTTCCTCCGCTCTTCTCTTCTTGTCTTCCTCCATCTTTATCTTCATCTCCTCTTTGTACCGAGCCTGGGCTTCGCGCATCCTATCAATAATAAACTCACGCATTTGTATGCATACATTTTTTAAAACTTAGTTAAGAAGAAAAAAGTAAATCAAGAATGATATTTAACAAGAATGACCCTATATATTAATAGAATTACTTGCCCCAGATTTACAAGGATAGTTTAGCACAAGAATTTGTAAAATTTTTGTTTCTGTAAATTATAATTTAATGATTACTTGACAAACCGCCACAAAGGTACCCCAGGGGTAATTTTCAAGTACGATTAAAGTTTGAGACGACAATGAAGAAAATTCACAGAATTTATCATTAATCAAAATAGAAAACAGATCGTGTCTTCTTTTTATTTTAAGAGGGCTTCTAGCTCTTTAAATGGAGGGGCACTTGAAAGTACTCCGACAAACCCTTAAAAGATTTACTTACCTTTTCATCTCAGCTTCTAGTTCTGCAGGTGTCTGTTTCTTCTTCTCAGGTTTGATAACTTGACTCGGGCCAGACTAAAATAATTACAAACATTTTAAATATTTTTCTACTTTAAATCAAGACCGCAATATTGCAGAAATCAGCGCGAAAGTTGAATTAAAGATATATAATCAATGCTTCCAAAATATCACCAAAAATAAATAAAATTTCTTTTAAAACTAAAGCGGTCTATAGTTCACGAGTAACAACATTTTATGAGATCGGACCACTTATAACGTCTGATATACTATTTAGAAATATGAACGTCGAGTCTACATAGCGTAAAAGAAAAAAATATTAAGTTAAAGTTATCATTTTTACAAAAATTAACTGAGTTAGGGTCAAAAAACAAGTACTTTACCTAAAAACAAGCATTTCTGACGTTTTTTTTTGGCCTATCTCAATCAATATTTGAAATTTTTCAAAAATTTCAATGGTTTGTAAAATTGATCCAATCTCAAATTTTTTTCTTATTATGCATTTGTATGTATATACAAATATCCCAACTTGGTCTTTTTTGGGGTACTCTACTTAAAATGACGTTCGGCCAATTTTTTTTTGTTGAAAAATGCTTTAAAAAATAATTTCTGTTTAATGTAAGTCCAATTTCGTTACTTTTGTGTATATTATACCTTCGGTGACCCTTTGGTTGGATTCATTTTCTCTTCCTTGATCCATCCGTCCAGGGTAAACTGCCCCTTCTTGTTCTTGTTCAGGAGCGCCTTCTTACTCTGTGTCTCTGTAAACTGTGGAGGGGGTCCAGCAAATATATCCTCAAACCTGACCTTGTCCAGGTCGTACATCTTGGACACCTTCGGTTTCACCTGAACACATTAAACAATCAAATCAAATCAAATCAAATCAAATCAAATCAAATCAAATCAAATCAAATCAAATCAAATCAAATCAAATCAAATCAAATCAAATCAAATCAAATCGAATCAAATCGAATCAAATCAAATGAAATGAAATCAAATCAAATCATGAAGGGTAGGGATTGCTTTAGGATCCATTATGCAATTAAGTTTCAATTCACTGCAATCAGGGTTTTCAGCCCGAATCTATAGTTTTTGTAATTTTCACCAAATTGGCTCGGGTTGAAGTTCCTACAAATTGTTTATTTATCGCGATGATCCCAGCAGCTGACCAAATTTGAGCCATGCGGTACCTATCATTTGTAAGTTGCCAAAGGTGAATGTTAATGACATATAATGGGTATCCTTTCTCTTATGGCTATCAATTTCTTAGTGTTTTAATTTATATTAGCTGGAGGGTCCCGAAGTAAACCGTGAAGGAAAAATTTTTTTGATTTTTTTTCTTTTAGCCTCTGTCATCCCCAGGCTACCCATGAGTGTCCACAGAAATTTCAGCCCATTCGGTCCAGCCGTTTGGCCGGCCCGAGGGAACAGAAATTTTTGAAAATTATTTGCATACAACACGTCAAAAGAGATTTGCACATTTTTATTTTTTTTTTAAGTACACATCAAGTTATTTAAAATTTTTATGCATATTTGAAATGGCATGGCCAAGGGCTTTTCAAAAATATATATTTTATCATATTTTGGACATTTTTTTGCAAAATTTTTTACTATGTAACTAGATGTTACAAAAAAAATGTATCAATGTATCAATTGTCATATTTGGACACTAAACATGGGATTTAGAGGGGGGTGGTTTTAAATACCCACCAGGGATAGGGTTGAAATGGCGTATTTTTGGATTATAAGAATGAGATCTGCAAGAAGCCCCATGACGATGTCATATACTAATTATCTTTTTTTTTAATATAAACGTATATCATATCTCACCCTGTAATGCATTCCCTCCAGTTCCACTGTATTCTTCAAGTAGAGGTTAAGCTTATCCCTGGTGAACACCCCCTTCTCCCTCTTCACGTCCTCGGCAGGGATGATGCGAATCATTACCATATCCTCGTCATCAGGTTCAATCTAAAAGGGACAGCAAGCATAATTTCAAGTGACCCTCCATGCAAAGATGACAATGCCCGATTTAGAACGTTACCCTTGAAGCTTTGTCTAATCAAGTATTAATTAGATATCAATGCTTTTGTTTCATTTTTATTTGCGGGTTCTCTGCGAAAGTGAGTTGTGCATTCATTGCTTGTAAGAAGCATAGAGAAAATAATAAAAATAAACACGCTTCGAGCCATTAAACGACGGATTCTTCCACATTTTGAAACAAATTTCTATTTATACTTCAAGGAAACCGTTTTAAATCGGGCATTGTCATTTTTGCACAGATAGTCACTTAAAATTACGCTTACAGTCCCTTTAACACAAACTTAATCAAACAAAGTTACAGATAGAACTTTAAAAAGAGACGCCTGAGAATGTTTTTAAGTTGCATTGTGTTTTTAAGGTTCTTTCAATTGCAATGATTGTGTTTTTAGGATCTTACAATTGCATTAACTGTTTTTTAAGGATCTTTCAATTGTTTCAATTGTGTTTTAAAGATCTTTCAATTGTGTTAATGTGTTTTAAGAATCTTTCAATTGTGTCAATTGTGGTTTAAGGATCTTTCAATTGCGTTATTAAGTTTTTAGGATCTTTCAATTGCGTTATTTGTGTTTCTATGATCTTACAATTCCGTCAATTGTGTTTTAAGGATCTTTGTTGTTGTTTTTAGGATCTTTGAATGCATTAATTGTTTATTTTAGGATCTTTCAATTGCGTTATTTGTGTTTTTAGGAACTTTCAATTCCGTCAATTGTGTTTTTAGGATCTTTCAATTCCGTTGAGTGTTTTTGACCTAGGACCACTGTAAAGGCATTAACTTAATCAGACCACAGAAGTTACTGATTATTGATTTATGTAACCTAACAAGTACCGATTATAGAAAATATCAACAGAGGGAATAGATATTTTTACGATGTTCTGCGTTTTTTACCTTTAATATAATCGTTAAAGTGAAGACATTTTCACAATAAATTTAAATTTCAATACTCCTCATACGTATTTATAATCACATTGTTAATCTATCTACGGGGTTAACAACAAAGGATGAGACTGTAAAGACGATTTGAAACTCTTGAAATATGATGATTTCACAAAGAACTCGTGACAATTTTACAGTCGCTGGGAACCATGAATATAAGGAAACAAACGGTATAAATTCAGTACAGTCGTCTCTGAAGTCTCACCCTTTGCGGGTAACCCTGTACGCTGGAACCGCACGGTAGGGTCAATGAATTGTCTTATATTACCTCCTCAACTTCATATTTGAAAAGATGATCAGGAACTACTCCGGATTTTACTGGTTTTGGATTCTTAGATGGACTACCGTCCTTGTCCACCTCTGTTATCTAGACAAACAAGACAATTTAAAATTCGTTTATGGTGATGGACCAAACCTCTTTAGAGTAAAAAAGTAGATGTTAGTTCCACATTTATTGAAAATATATTTCGGTCTGGGTTGACCCTCGTCAGTTCTAACGATATAATAACTATCAAAATCGATAAAAAAAATAAAAAAAAATTTTTTTGTTAAAAATCACAAGANACTGAAGTTTCCAGACAGTACTCCAGTCCAAACTGAAGTTTCCAGACAGTACTCCAGTCCAAACTGAAGTTTCCAGACAGTACTCCAGTCCAAACTGAAGTTTCCAGACAGTACTCCAGTCCAAACTCAAGTTTCCAGACAGTACTCCAGTCCAAACTGAAGTTTGCAGATCTGTCTGCATCTCTTGGACAGCTACAGAAGAACCAAGAAAATCAGTCTCATGTCCCTGTAGACTTTTTTACTGTTTAATTAAGTAAGAATGAGTAAATTTTTTTTGATGATACTATAATAAATCTAAGAAGAGTTTAATCTATGTCTTTTGAGTTGTCGAGTTTGGGGAAGGAATTCAAAAAAAATTTAGAGGGGGGGGGGGAAAAGAATGAAAAATATGGAATTATATGCACCCCTGCAAAAAAGATTATTCAAAATAAAAATTTGGTCTGTCAAATGGACATAAGGGAAACGAACTCAGATTATGAGATGGAAAAAAGATAATTTGCAAATTTTCACTTTTAAAAAATATGTTTTAAGACAATTATTATTCCTTGAGATGGTTTCTGTCACAATTACAATTACATAAAGCTTCTAAACTAGCTAAAACTTGCAAACTTTCTTCCAAAATTAATTTTTATTGAAGTTAAGTCTAAAAACCGTGTCCAATTACCTCCCTTATCGTCTTATTCACCAAAATAAAAAAGCTTGGATATTGCAGCTACTTCAAAAAGCAAAGAGTCATATTATTCCTCCCCCCCCCCCCCATGAAGTGGGACTGGTCCACAATGGCCTACCAAGACCTACCTCATCATCCTCCTCCTGGCTCTGTAGTATCTCCTGTTCTGTCGGGGGTATAACCTTAGTTATCTTGGCATCACACCATTGGTCGTTTATCACCGCCTCTATAATTTCTCCCTAAAATAGTTATTAGTTATATTATGTGACTTGAAGGGATTGTAAGAGAAAAGGATGGCAGTGCCTGATTCACAACGGTACCCTTAAAAACTTTGTCTGATCAGTATCAATTATTTATATCAAGGCTTATAATTTTGAAAACGGATCTTTTTCACTAGTGACTTCTCTACAAAAGTGACTTGCGCATTTCTACTGCAGAAAATACATATAATAATTATCAGAACTAAACACTTATAACTCTGAAAAACGACAATTTCTTCCACATTAAATTGATCAGATAAAGGTTTCGAGGGTACCGTTGTAAAGCTTGCGAGGGTATCTTGAATCTTGAATTTAATTTGTCCCATCACAGACCGTTTGGAAGACCTGAACCTCAACTGAGATGTAATATCTGAAATATCTCCCCCTCCTCCTACTGACAGCTCTAGATTGACTTACCTTGAAATATCTCCCCCTCCTCCTACTGACAGCTCTAGATTGACTTACCTTGAAATATCTCTGTTTGGTAAACTCGAATACGTCGTCTGAAACCTCGGCAATCCGTCCTCGCCTAGTATGTGCGGAGATCCAGAGGATTCCCTTCTTTAGAGGCTAAAACAAATTAACAGTTAAAAATCATCTTAATCTATATATATATATGCTTTGCTTGTTTGTTTGTATCCAATACACGTTAAAACGGCTGAACTGATCGGACTCAAATTTGGTGTGGGACCTCACATGACCCAAGAGAAGGTTTATGGATGATCAAAATTTCAAAACTAACCTCCCACAAATTTTAATTTTCATCAAAATTTAATTTCATTAAATTCCACGAAGTTTTTTATATAAAATACATGAACTTTGTATACACACAGAAAACGTTCACAATTGTAATAGAAGATGGGCCCCGAACTTTATAATTCAGTGTACTCAAGGGGTAGGGGTGCCTGTGCTTGTGTTAAACTCCTCTCTTTTCTATCATCCCCGATCTTTCATTTATGTCTTTCGTCTTTACAAAATCATTAAGTTCAAAAGCTTAGGAAGGGAATGATTTTTTTCCATGAATAAAAACGTTGACTTGAACCCATAATATTACAATATTAACAAAAAAGTTGAAGAAATTTAATATCAAAATTTAACTTCGACTTTCAAAGAGAAATTTGACACAGTTTTCATGATTTAAGAGATTTTGGGACATGAAATTGGTCTAGTAAACTATGAACAAGATGACATACACGGCCCTACATCTAAATATGTAAAGTAGTAATCTCTTTTTTTAGAATGTTTGATCATAACTCATGAACCAGAGAGGGGTTCATGAGTCTGGGGGACCGATTTAAAATTCTAAGTTGAGTGGGTCGACTTTGAACGGGAAATTTTTTTTTTTAAGCGCGGGTAATCTGCGGGAGTAACAATAAGTAACCTGGGCAACGCTGGGTTCCCAAGCAAGTTAAAGTTTTTTTTTGTGCATATATCCTAAGGTATACCTTAGGAAGATTTCCAATCCTTTTCCGTGCTTTGTCTTCACTTTCCAGCGCTTCTTCAAACGTCAAGTTTGATTTCCCTGCACAATTACATACATTTTATTTCTATATCTACATCATTTATAGAATTGATTTTTAAAATGAATTATTTACTCATTAAAAGTTTGAAAGAGAAATATTTTCACAAACATATTTAAATACTGAAAGTTTGAAACAATTTCAGGCCAGTCAGGTGTGTAAAATAATTTTTTTTTTTTTGGGGGGGGGGGGAATTAAGTAGTTTTGGAATTCTAAAACTATATTTGTAAGTCTTACTCAAAAATTCCTTTGAAGAATGATTTATTAAGGTAAGGTTAGGAAATTTTCTGTGCTAAGTGATGCGGCTTGGATGTGTATTATTTCAGGGTTAGCACAGGTAAGGATAATTTCGGCGCCGAGCGCCGCGGCTAGGGGGCTGAGCGTTGAAGCCTTGAGATTTTAATTATAATAACTCGTAAATAAATTTCATGTACATTTTTGATAATAGGGAGGGGCGGGGCAGAAATTCCGTTCTCTAGGAAATCACCGATATTTTTTGTTATTTAGGGTTAGGTTAGGTTAAGAAAAGGCCGAGCGCTGCGGCCACACTTTCTGGGCCGAGCGCTGCGGCTAGGATGGGCTAGGGGGCCGAGCGCTGCGGCCACACTTTCTGGGCCGAGCGCTGCGGCTAGGATGGGCTAGGGGGCCGAGCGCTGCGGCCACGGGTTAGGTTAAGTTATGAAACTTCTTGTCAGACCCATGTACAAAATTGATAGGAGGGGGGGGTGGGGTCCAAAAATCGTATACTAGGAATATACCGGTTAGATGATTGGACTCAGGGCTCTCAGGTACCTCAGGTACCTGTTAAATTCAAATCTTTTCACTAATAGTACAAAAACAATCGGAGTTGCAGGTTCCGGTGATTTCGTAATTCAAGTTTCAACTGAACTGAAGGCAGACCAATTGAAAACCGCGTAAACGAGCGCTCACAAAGATACAATTTTTTTTTTTTAAATAATTTTATTATAATTTTGTTTATAATTTTCTTTAATGAACGAAAGTTTTCATTAAAAATTTGTAAAATGAATGTAGATTAAAAATTATTTGTGAGCGCTAGTGCAGATTACACCGCGGACTTTTCTTTGTAGAATGTAAAATTGTTTGGCGGGAAACATTTGCATGCCTTCAGAGCCTGCATGCAAAGAATGCATGCCGCTTGTGGGATAATAGGATTTCTTAAATCTAGCCCGTAGCCAAGAATTTCCAAAGGGGGGAATGGTGTTAAGAAAGAGAGGTCATGTGAGGGGAGGAAGGCCAACCACATCAATCTCTATTCCGAACCACATTCTCCGAACATTTTCTCGTCCGAACCACCTCGAAATCCTCGTCCTTTCAATAGTATTTTTTTTAAGTGTCAAATCCTTCCAGTTAAAACTATTTTTAAAGAGTCGGGCCACGTTAGGGCATAAATAAAATATCAAATTTTTGTAAATCGAAAAAAAAAGTTTCAATTGAATTCCCGGGCGATGTTGCGCGACCAGTCCCATTAGGTCAAGATAGGTCAGGTTAGGTCGGGTTACGTTAGATTACCAAATTGGTCGCAATATGACCAGTCCCCTTAGGTCGTGTTAGGTCAGGTTAGGTCGGGTTATGTCAGATTACCAAACTGGTCGGAACATGACCAAGTCCCCTATCGATAGAAATTCTGAGTAATTTCTCGTAACCCATTCCAAGGAATTTATCATAACCCATTCTGGGGAATTTCTTGTAATTGCAGTTTCCAGGAACTTCTTGTAACCAATTCTGGGGAATTATTTGTTACCAATTCAGGAGAATAACTGGAGACAATGTCGACCAAATATGTGGAAATTCTTGGGAATTTCCTGGGAATCGTTCCCAGGAACGATTCTTTAAAGAGTTCCTCAAGAATATCTTGACATATTCTCAGACTATTCCTGAGTACATTTACTAACAACTATCTATATTGACCCTCCAACTTTTTAGAAGTATCCAACTTCTGAAGTCAGAATAATCGTTTTTGATCTCACTGAAGTTGTCATGTATTTTTTTTCAGACAACTGAATTTTTATGAAGAAATGAAAGAAATTTACAATTTTTCCAAAATATTTGTTTTAAAAGATGGTTCTTAAATAAATCATAATTTTTTATCATTTACCAGATGCAAAGAAAACAAAATTTAGTTAGGACAGTGAATATTAGAAGGAAACCTCAGAGACACCTATTGGAAAAAAAGAACTTGAAAATTCTGTAAAATTGGTGATGAAATCCTGAGAATTTCTCAGGAATTTCTGGAAAATCATTTCTGAGAAATTCTTAGGAATTTCTTGAGAAAAATTCCAGAGAATTTATCAGTCTCTAAACTAAGTCTGTTCTCCCCCCAAAAATCGTTAATTTGGTAACCAAGTCCTGAGAATTTCTCAGGAATTTCTCCAGGAAAAATCTTGTTTTTTATTCAGCTCCTCAAAAAATCTGTAAATTGGTGACCAAGTGCTGAGAATTTCTCTGGAATTAACAAAGAAATTTTCCGAAGAAAATCTTGGGAATTTCTGGAAACAAAATTCTGATCCCTTAAAAATCTTTCAAATTGTGGACCAATTCCAGAGAATTTCTCAAGAATTTCCAAGGAATCAGTCACAAGAATTTGTTCTCGCGAAATTCCCCAGAAATTTCTCAAAGCAAGTCACCAAAACTGGAGAACTTAGAGAAATTCCTCACTTTTTTACCTGGGTATGAGCCAAAAAAAGTTCAAATGAGCAAAGATTTGTTCATTTGAACTATTTTTTTGCTTGTGTGAACTATTTTTTTGCTCATTTGAACTTTTGTTTTGCTCATTTGCACTATTTTTTGCTCATTTGAACTTTTCATTGCTCAACATTCAAATTATCTTTTTGATCATTTGAACTATTTTTTTGCTCATTTGAACTATTTTTGGTTGAACTATCTTTGATACAGTGGTCCCAAAATAAATTTTTTCATACAGTGGTCCCAAAAAAATCTTTTGATGTGTTCCCCTGTATTAAAATAATATTGTGATTTATTTCCTCATGTTTTATGTATATTTATAGTTTGTAAGATTTGAAAGTTTATGCACACTGCACAGTGCGCAGGTAGAAATGCACAGATAGTTAGGCCAGTAGGAGTTAAAAAGTTAGAATGGAAACATCAGGACTGAAGAGAATGGATAGGAAAGAATAAAAAGATAGAATTTGTCCAACTGATGTAAGTAAATTTCTAAAAAATAATAAGAAGATAATAGTTTATTTCAAAATATATATTGAATATAGATTATCCTTAACAAATGTATGTATATATGATAATTTCGTAAATATTGTTTTTTTTCAGTTGAACTTCATGATTAAGAAAATAAAGAAGAAATTAAAGAAGAATAAATATTTCTTATGAATAGTTCTAAATCATTCAAATTAAAAGAAGAAACCCTATTCCATTACATCCCCAAAAAAAATCTTATAATACATAAAAAATCTGTTGATACAGTGGTCCCCAAAAAAAATCTTCCTCAAAACAAATCCTTTGACACAGTGGTCCCCCAAAAAATCTTTAAAACAGTGGTCCCACCAGCAAAACTTTTGATAAAGTAGTCCCCGAAATAATCTTTTGATAAAGTGGTCCCCCCCAAAAAATCTTTTGATACATTGGTCCCTAAAAAATCTTTTCATATAGTGGTCCCGAGAAACTTCTGTTGATACAGTAGTTCCCAAAAAAATTGTTCAATACAGTGGTCCCTAAAAAAATATTTGAAACTGTGGTCCTCAAGAAAATCTTGATACATGGTGGTCCTAAAAAAAATCTTTTGATATTACAATATGGCCCCAAAAAAATCTTTTCATACAGTGCTTCCCAAATTTTTTTTTGATAAAGTGGTTCCCAAAAAATTCTTTTGATACTGTGGTCTCAAAAAATCTTTTGATAGAAAGTGTTCCCCAAAAAACAACTTTTGATACAGTGGTGTCCTAGCCGCAGCGAGCTTGGCCCAGAAATTGTCTTAACCTATCCTAACCCTCAAATAATACAAAAATAAAAGGCTGGTGTAAGTCCGATATTGCAGGAGGTTGGAAGTTCAGTAGGAGGGATGTTGCATATAGACGATAGGCTGGGTCAAGAGTCTGGTATGTTAAGACTGGTATATAAGAGCGGTATTAGCTAATACCGCTCTAATACCACTATTAACACTAATACTGGTAGTTAGTAAATACGGATTCATAAGTCGCTAATGCTGCCTAATTTGTGGCAGGATTATCTACCCTAGAACAGCTGATGCGTTTATAAGTCATCCTAGCTTAAACCAGGATTATCATCCAATCTTTACCGTTTTTTGACAAATTTGACTGAGTATTGCATCTGGAAGTATCACAAAGTTGGTTAATGAGTGATTTTAAGATGGATTTAGTATAATGAGTCAGTAATTGATAATCATTAGACTTTATTTTAAGATGCAATGCTCAGTCAAATTTGTCAGAAATTTCATTGTAAAGCAGTTTAAGAATTCAACACACAAAATATTAATCTATTATTATTAGTAGAATTGAAAAAATGGTTTGAATTGTGCTTTTTTGCGTAATGCGGCTGGATTTTTTAAAATCACACTTGAAAGGTCCTAAATATACCATTTAAAACATAGTTTTGCCCGGAAGAGTCAAATGTGGTGGTGCGGAAGGGGAAATAGTGGTGGCTCATGGCTGCCAGAAGAGAAAAAAGCCAATATGTGGCACGGAAAGGGAAATAGTGGTGGCTCATGGCCGCCTGCCTTCCTCCGCTATTAACTGAAGGCCGCTTCGTCAGAGGAGTATCTTAATCGTAGGATAAACCTACAATTAATAAATCCTAGGTTTATCCTACGTTTTAGACTTGTCGCACGATTACGGAAGTACTGTTTCATCAGTCATAAATCCACCCTAAATAGAGGCTGGATTATCTATCCTAAATCTACCCTAAAACAGCTGATGCTTTCATTAGTCATCCTTTAAATCCTACGATTATCTACCCTTTTTCATCCAAACTGTTGTTTATGCACATGCGCATTGGTTTCCACAAATTGGTTTGGCAAATCAAAGACGATCTTTGTTAACCTCAAATATTTTTTGCAAAATTTAAAAAATCATGTTTTTTCCAAAAATCTGCCAAAAAATATTGTTTTTTAATAAAAAATAATATTTTCTAAAAAACATCGAGTTGGCTAATACAAAAATCTAAACACTGTAAAGGTTTTTTGAAAATATCTTTTAAATGGAGATTGATATTACTTTGTGTGCGATGAGATAATTTTTAGTAAACAGGCAGCCTGACCTTTTTTGTATCTTGACGCCAATCATGAAATGCAGTCATTAAAGTGGCCAATTGGATCTAAGATTCGGCTAAAATGAACTGTGCCTTGATTCTCAGTTTTTGTAGACCAAAATTCTGAACAAATTGTGCAGCATGCTTGCACCTTGAAGAATTGATTTATAACTGACTAAGATTTGACAAATGAGCATTTTTAATCATCATTTTTATATAACTCATGTATACATGTTGTCTTATCACTGGACTTTCTGAAACTGGCAGTCTAAACCCTGCTCGACCTGCCCCACAACCATGTCACGTAATTATCTCTCCCTGAAAAGGAATTCCGACGGAGCTCCTCTTTTGGAGATTTCTCCACAAACGGAGGGAATGAGGAGGATTCTCCACAAGAGGAGGAAATGAGGAGGATTCTCCATTTTCGGAGGATAAAAGGAGTCCTCCTCTTGAGGAGGAGAAGAGGAGAGCGGAGTAGGTTTTCTTGCTGGGGTATCAGATTCATAATAACCATCCTTAACCTGTACTATCTATAGAAGCAAGCTGTCAATCTGAAAATAATTTGAAAATTTAGTTTAAGTCAATACAGATGCCATATAACCCCGATAGATGTCGAAAATTTTTTAAAAGTGCATTTAATTCAAATCACATAAAACAAAATTTTACGGTGATTACTATTTGAGGTGGTGGAGATTACCAATTGAGGAGCGCGCTTGCCGCGAAACAGATTTGGGTGGCGGTGATTACTATTTGAGGAACTCTGGACTCCCTCCCTCCTTCAACGAAGCAGCCTGATATTTCACCGGATTTGATACAACACCATGAAGACGATCTATTTATAGAATTGAAAGAAATCAGCGGCATTGCTGCAACAACAAAATCAAAACAATATTTACCCAAGGTCGTATTAAAGTTAAACCTTGGACTAGAGCCGAACCGAACTCGCTAGGACTAATAAGACAAAAAAAAACAAGTACAACAACCAAATGAAGAACTATTCCACAAAGTGTCACCAGCCCAATGTGCCATAGCTGGCCGGTTGCAGCAATTTAGTTCAATGAGCTTTCAATGTGTTTTTGATATTTGGTTCGATCTTTCACATTCTTGGGCCATGGAAGAACGATTNACAATTTGATTTGTTAAGATTTGTAACATCAAAACAGAAGCTTGGATTCATTGATACTCTTGCTGTTAAATGTATTAGTTTCTTGACTAAAAGACAAACAGATAAAGTTATTTCCTTGTTTCAGTGATCACGTTGGTCGTTTAACATGGCCGCAGATCCTGACAATTCCTCTAAAGAATTATCGAAGCAAATGGAGGAGGTAATAGTTTGTTGTTGACCAAGATTGTTAGTTGTTTAAATACACAAAAGAAGTTATCATGTACAATATTCGGTAATTTCCTAGTATACGTTTTTTGGACCCCCTCCCCCCTTCTTTCATTTTTTACATGGATCGTATATGTAAGACATGGATGATACAATTGACCATGTGGCTGCAGCGCCCGGCCCCTTAGCCGTCCTAGACTGGAGCATTAGTTTTGGTCTGCCTCTTAGTCGGAATTTGAGCCGACGGCCGGCGGCTGAAAAACTTGAGGGAAAGAGCGAGACCTTGTTTAGACTAGAATGAGGGCGAACACTTTAAACATTTTTTGAAATCTTTTTTGTAAACAAAACCTTCCGTAATATTCTATTAATAAATGTAATCATATGAACAAATATTTTTTTCCCTGTTTTAGATAAAAATCAAAATTGACAAGATTAAAAAAACACCCTGTAGTTAATATTGTAGGTTACAGTAACAGATATATGAATCTTAAACTAGATAATATTGTAGGTTACAGTAACAAATATCTGAATCTCAAACTAGATAATATTGTAGGTTAAAGTAACAGATATATGAATCTTGAACTAGATAATATTGTAGGTATAGTAACAAATATCTGAATCTTAAACTAGATAATATTGTAGGTATAGTAACAGATATATGAATTTTAAACTATATAATATTGTAGGTTACAGTAACGGATAGTGACGATGATATACAGATGGATTCTGTATCAACCCCTGTGCCTGCTAACAATGCTGTCGATGAATTATCTAATGGACCTGCTAAAAACGTGGCCGCCGATACTCAAAATGGGTTAACAGCCCTTTCCAAAATATTAGGTATAATTATTAAAACAGATATGTACAATGTAATTTAAATAACTATGCTTCAACTATGGTTTTAATGCCCCCCCCCCCCGCTCTTCAAAATCTAAATATACTCTTTGCATTTGAATGTGTCGGTTACTTTTAGAGACCAATATCTTTGTAATTTACAGAAATAATATTTTATCATATCTGTTCGGTTCCATAGTAGTAAACCTATTGGGCGCAGTGGAGGTTTAGTCTAGAATGGTGAACTTTTTGTGCCGAAAATTTTTTTTTTGTGACCCCCCCCCCCCCCCTCTAACGGTTGATGTGCATCCACCTAAAAACTCGTATTGAGAAAAAAGTTAAACCGGTTTTTGGCGGATTTGAGACGCGGCTCAAATTCATTAAATTCAGATACACATTCGGTCCCTTTAATCTAAAGTTGTTTTTTTTAAAGAAAACCTTCTTCTTATCAACTTTATTAGCAATATATTAAAACTAACAAAATAGCCAAATATATCATAACGAACGATAATATTCAAAAATATATGATATTATATTTTTTAGAAACTACGTTTGCAAATAGATTTATTCCCTAATTGCAGTTTTTGTCCATGCATTTTTTTTCAAGATGAAAGGTCTGTAAAATTTATTCTATCTCATATTTAATAAATTTTAATCATGGGAGAGCTCTGCGAAAATCAGCTCTTAACTATAATAGATGCGAAATGATCCTTTAAGGAGATATTTGCTCTCCATGGTCGCAAATCATATACAATATTGTTTATTTATAATACTGAATAAAGAAGAAGAATATTTTTAGATAACCGATCTGACTCTGACAGCTCTGTTGAAATCCAAGGTAGAAATTCCAGATTTTTTTTGTACACACATATAACCCCCCCCCCCCTTCAAGTTAAGAAGTTATCAAAAAAAATCACATAAACTTTGCTGGAAAAAATGTGTGAAGAATTATTGCCTCTTTCTGAAACGTTTTGCAAAATATTTTTTATATTCCTTTAAAGTTGATTTAAGCCATGAGCATACAACTTACCATGCTAATTATAATTTATAAAAGAGTTTTGGGGAAAAGAAACCTTTTCTAGTTTATAGAAATTATTCTATCTAATCAAGATTTAGGCATCCCCCCCCCCTTCCAGTGATTTTCAAAGAATTGGGAAAATTTGACATTAACCTCTTAGTTTTCTACACTACCCAAAAAAGTTATATATTTTCCCTCTAAATCATTTTTTTTTAATTTAGCGAAAATCTTCTTATTCATAATATGCAGTGGGAATTGATTTTTTAAAATCGGGAGGGGGGTAAGGATGATTTTCACAAATGTAAACCCCTCTGAAAACTCTACTAATGCTAACGGAGATACTTTTTATATTTAGAACCTAAGAAACGTCGGAAGATTATATGGGCCTGTTTAGTGCCTGATTGTAATTCCACTAAGTAAGTAGGGGAGATGGTTATTGACTCTTTTAAAAAAAAACCTTAAAGAGAATAAAGAATTTGATACTTTAAACAATTTGTGATGCTGGATTATGATTTGCATGCTACATTTTACAATATGCATATGTCAGAAGTTTCAGTTATGAAAAAAAATTTTTATATTAGAAAAACGCTACACTCACAAAAAGCTATTTGGATAAAACACTACCTACTAAAGCGCTTCTAGATAAAACGCTACACTCACAAAAAGCTATTTGGATAAAACGCTACCTCCCAAAGCGCTACCAGATAAAACGCTACAATCACAAAAAGCTATTTGGATAAAACGCTACCATATATCATATTAAGTTTAACTTTAGATTTGATTATTTATTGTAGTTCTTTATTTGAACAGTTTCAAATTCAAGGCAATTTTGCATGAACTTATTTGTTTGACTTTTGAATTTTTTTTTTAATACGTTTTTTTAATTTAATATACGAGTTGTACGGATTTTTTCTAAAATGTATGGATTACACGGATTTACAATGGTACCCGTTATTGCTTTGTCTGATCAAGCATGAATTATATATCAATTTGTATAATTTAGAAAAATGGTTATTTTTAATTGTGGTTTCTCTACAAAAGTGACTTGAACTACTGCAAGAAAACATATAGGAATGATCAGAATTAGATAATTTTGGACCTAGAAAAACTTCAGCATTTTTGATCAGATAAAGGTTTAAAGGTTACCGTTCTGACTCGGAAATTGCCATCTTTGTATGGAGAGTCAGTTGAAATTACGTTAACAGTCCCTATAACCGGTTCTCTTTGTACCAGGAAGTCTGAGCTAATTACTGCTAATGGTACAGTACTCTCCTACTTCAAACTACAGAGAGATGAGAAGAAGAAAAGGAAAATATGCATTTCATGCCGGGGTAGGTTATCTTTTCATGCCGGGGTAGGTTATCTTTTCATCCGGGGTAGGGAATTCTTCATGCCGGGGTAGGTTATCTTTTCATCCGGGGTAGGTATCTCTTCATGCCGGGGTAGGTTATCTTTACATGCCGGGGTAGGTATCTTTTCATGCCGGGGTAGATCATCTTTTCATTCAGGGGAGGTTATCTTTACATGCCGGGGTAGGTTATCTTTACATGCCGGGGTAGGTATCTCTTCATGCCGGGGTAGGTTATCTTTTCATCCGGGGTAGGTATTTTTTCATGCCGGGGTAGGTTATCTTTACATGCCGAGATTGGTTATCTTTTCATCCAGGGGTAGGTTATCTTTTCATGCCTGGAAAGGTTATCCTTTCATGCCGAGGTAAGTTATCTTTTCATTCCAGGGTAGGTTATCTTTTCATGCCGGGGTTAGTTTTTTTTCATGCCGGGGAAGGTTATCTTTTCATGCCGGGGTAGGTATCTTTTCATGCCGGGGTAGGTTATTTTTCATGTCGGGGTAGGTTATCTTTTCATGCCAGGATAGGTTATCCTCTATGCCGGGGCAGGTTATCTTTTCATGTCAGGGTAGGTTATCTTTCATGCCGGGGTAGGTTATCTTTTCATGCCGGGTAGGTTATCTTTTCATGCCAGGGTAGGTTATCTGTACATGCCGGGGTAGGTTATCTTCTCATGCCGGGGTAGGTTATCTTTTCATGCTGGAGTAGATTATCTTTTCATACCAGGGTAGGTTATCTGTACATGCCGGGGTACTAAAATTATTATATGTTAGGTTATAAAAAAAGATAAAACACCTAGTTCAATTCATGCTGCCTTATGAGTTAGCTAATTATCATCTTGGGTTAGGAGTTCAGTGTGGAAAAAGGATGTTTCAAAAACTGATTTGATTCACACTCATGGACTTTTTAATTCAATATATCAGTTCTCTTATCAAATTAGTCAATCAGTCATAGATAAAATCAATCAATCACTTGTCTTACTTAAATAAGGAATGAAAATGAAATTTTAAGAAAAAGAGCAAAAAAATTAAATCCGTTTTATCTTCTCTTGTTCCCTTTCCAGGGAGATTGAAAAGTTAATGATCCAAGAAGACAGGGGGGCCGGGGGTGGTGGGGGGTTTTAATTTTTAATTTTTTGTATCTTCTCACCAATAGATTTTATTTAGAGAAGTTGGCTGGTCAGGAGGCAATGCTGGTTGAGAGATTGAAGAACAAGCAGCCTATCCTCGGGGCTATGCTACCGCTTCCCGAGGTCGTTAACCTCGAGGACTCGGACCAGGAATCAGAGGTACAATGTACATTCATCAAACCTGAAATCAATAAAAAGTAGAATAATGATTTAATGGATTGTTCGCCTATATCGTTCTGGGGCTCAGGAACATCTTTGAGTAGATGCGTGTTTTTGTTACTTGCGAGTTCCTCACTAAGAATAATGTACGCAATTCTTTTTTCCTTTTGCCCTCTTTTTCTTTGCTTACTTTTTTGTAATTTTTTGTGTAGGTCCTTATAATGATAATAATAAGTTTACTTTTTTTGGTGTATATTTTACAATATATTTACTTGAGTTATTTTAAAATTTTGAACACCAGGGGGCTCAGCGAGCAATAGTTTTAGTGCCAAATCCCAATCGTAACATAAATAAACATATTAATCACAATTTTAATTTTTATTTAATTTCATTTAAAGCAGACCTTATCGGCTAGATTAATAATGACTAATGTATTGTGTAACATGTATGTATAATTTTAAGATATGTTTTTCATTAGTCAAAATAAAGTTTGAAGTTAATACTTTGTTAACATTTTTAATAGATTTTTTTTTCTAAAGGTACATTAAATACACTTCGGTGGCGAGGACCGTCAGCCCCTATTGCATTGAATGATGGGTTGTCTGCTAATACTAATAATAATGCTATAATTTGTTTGATTGTTTGGTGAAACTCAATACCATAGTTATTGTTTAGACGGATGACAGTGAGAGTACTGAGTTTGAATTGGATTTAAGTTCTGAGTTTGATGATTGCACTGCAGAGGAAGCTTTAAGACGGTTAGTTCACTTTGCAGGGGAATACTTCGGGGGTATATTTGTTCAAGGGGAAATAATTTTTGATGCTCTGGAGAAAAAAAGAAAAAATTGACATCTAACTTGGCAAGTTCTTTTCCAATTTTTGATCCTTCTTACCCCAAAACTCATTTATTTTCCCCAATCATGCGAATAACCCCCCCTCCCCCTCACTTCCTGGGTTGGGAGGGGAGGGGGATAATTAATCAGGAAAATGCATATCCCCTTGGAAATCCTTTCATTTCAAGGAAGCTACTGGCAAATTGTCTTTGTTATACGCTTCTCTATGAATTAATGATAGTTTAAAAACAGGTTGACTGTTTTTTAGGCTTTCCAAAATTAGGTCTACTCTTTTTTGCATCCCAAAAAATGACTTTGATGTACGCTTGATCACGCTCTGTTAAAATATTCTCACTATCTGTTAAAATAATTTCAGACTCTGTTGAATTATTCTCACTATCTGTTAAATATTCTCACGCTCTGTTAAAATATTCTCACTATCTGTTAAAATATTCTCACGCTCTGTTAAAATATTCTCACTATCTGTTAAAATATTCTCACACTATGTTGTAATATTCTCACTATCTGTAAATATTCTCACGCTCTGTTAAAATATTCTCACTATCTGTTAAAATATTCTCACTATCTATTAAAATATTCTCACTATCTGTTAAAATATACTCATGCTATGTTGAATTATTCTCACGCTATGTTAAAATATTATGATAATTTTAAATTTACATGAACAGGAAACCTCTTTGGCGCCCCTTTAACCAACATTAAATTTCCCTCCCATAAATATAGAAAACATTTACACCCCCTTCGTTACCCATAGGGGGGTTTAACCCGCCCAAAGACCCACCTGTAGTTAAACTTTTCTTTATCATTTCCAAAACATTAATTGGGTGATAACTTATCATTTTTTGGAATTTTTCAAATCTGAAAACGCCATTGACCTACATCTTTAAAACTCTTTCTTTAATATACATATCATTATATTTCAAGAATTTTTTTTTTCTTCCTTCAGATGATTTATGACCACCCTTGACCACCATTCAATGACCATCTAGAGAAAATATAACCTCGTTTTTACTACCATCCTTGACCACCTGGGAGGTCATGACCGCTCCTAGAGAAAAAATAACCCTGAAAATGAATTCCTTGGCCCCAAAGACCCCTATAAATATTCATGATATGTATATATTTTAGCTATAAATAGTTTTACAAATACTGGCCGACTGTTCGCTCTGTTAAAATACACTCTGTTAAAATATTCTCACGCTCTGTTAAAATATTCTCACGCTTTGTTAAAATATGCTCACGCTCTGTTAAGATGTTCTCACACTCTGTTAAAATATTCTCACGCTCTGTTAAATAGGATTATGCAGTCGACTTTGGAGAAGTACGATGTTAAAAATCAGTTTGATCGAGAAATCAAGGAAATCCAAGATAATAGGTAATTTTAGTTTTGGAAAAAATAAATCCATTTCGAAGGGTTTCATGAATTTTTTATTGACTGTTGATTGAATTTTTTACTGTTATTTAGTGTCTACCTAATCACAAGGTATTGTATTATATTGTTTACATATTTATGTATTGTTTTACGACTATATTTATTATTTATTGTTCTTTAATATTATTCTTTATAATAGGCTCTATTGCTTCTTTTTTTACAAAAAAAAAATTCAAGCTTTTTACACTTATGATAAATGAACCAAATATGGAAAAATTACAAAAAAAAATCTTCCTAAATCAATATTCAAAAATATATACCCTCAATGTACTGTAATGTTTGCACTGTACAATTTATTGTACCATGAAATTGTTGTTGTACAGGGAGAATGTACTGTATCCTATAGTTGTTGTTGTACAGGGAGAATGTACTGTATCCTTTAGTTGTTGTTATACAGGGAGAATGTACTGTATTCTATAGTTGTTATTGTACAGGGAGAATGTAGTGTATCCTATAGTTGTTATATTGTACAGGGAGAATGTACTGTATCCTATAGCTGTTGTTATACAGGTAGAATGTACTGTATTCTATAGTTGTTATTGTACAGGGAGAATGTAGTGTATCCTATAGTTGTTATATTGTACAAGGAGAATGTACTGTATCCTATAGTTGTTGTTGTACAGGGAGAATGTACTGTATCCTATAGTTGTTGTTGTACAGGGAGAATGTACTGTATCCTCAGATGGAGGCGGTTACCCAGGAGTTGATCGATCTACAGATGGAGGTGGATAAAACTCGGAATGAACTGTATGCGGTGAGCATTCGATTTTACTTCTGGGCAGTGCTTACGATCCGGATTCGTTGTATCCACAACATTTAGGCTTCATGGATGCGAATCCGCGGATCCGGATTCAAGGGTCAAAATATCAACCAAAAACTGTAAAAACATTTTTTCTCACAACCCCAAATATGAACTGTTGAAGAAAAAAGATTAGTAAAAAAGTCCTCATCTCTGAATGGTTTATCAAGATTTAGCATAAAAATAAGCGAAATAAACGAGGACAATTAAAATGAAAAATTCCTTTTTTTCATATTCATATATTTATTCAACTACAAAGCATGAGATATTACAAGTAAGCAATCACAATTTACTATGCAGTTTGGACCCGCCTAACCAGGGTAGGTTGTTTTGAGTGGCTGGCCCGTTCCAAAGATCTTTAAATTTTCAAGAAATCAGTCTGGATCCAGATCCACATCAAAACGAACTGGATCTTCTGGCAAGAGGGTGCCGAAAATTCTTATCTCATCTTAAAAACTGTCTAAAAATAATTCTGGATGAAAAGCATTTAGATAGTTAAATTCACTCACAAATCCCCTCCCCCTCTCTGACAGGGTCTAGTTATACTTTTAAATTGATTTGACATAGGGCTTTTACCCTATTATGTGGATTGGGAATTCCCCATTGGGTTCCCTTTTACATTTCAAGCGATTAATTGATCAATTGATTTATTCGATTGATTAATTATTGGTTTATTGAAAAGATTGAATAAATTTATCAAAGGCATTTGAACCGGAAAGGATATCCCTACCACCTCTGGATCTAGACTCTCTGCTAGCCCCTCCTCTTCCCGTCAAGCCTCTGCAGCCTCAGCCTCCTCCCCTGCAGCAGAGTCCAGCTAAACTCGGCCTCAATCCCTTAAACAGACCTAATAAGGCAAACCTGGCAGCACGACCTAAAATAACCGCTAGGTGAGTTTAGAATTTGTTAAATCTTAGTTCTTTATTCAGATGCTCTGTTATTTCATAAGATGCACAAGAGAAATAAACGTTAATTAATCTTTAATCAGGGGCAAATTTTTCGATTATCAGGGGGAGGGGTTCTACAGATTCTGGTCCAAGTAGCAGAATATCATCATGAACATCGAGTGTTGTCTAATAAAAGATCGTTAAAACAATCCTTGTTCTCTAATTGTTGGGTCAGGTTTTAGCATGAAAATAGCCAAGAACAAAATCGTAATTTTTCCAAAAGCAAATTATGATTCGGATAGATTTTTGTTAATTAAAACTATAAAAGAGATCTGGAAGGACGGCAGACCTGCAGACTGAAGTAACCATCAATTTACAGAGTTGAATTTTAACGGTACCATAACCTTCTTATCGGCAAAGATATTCTCTTTTTTTGCCTGAAACTTGATAATTTTTAATTGTGGCTTCTCCATGAAAGTGACCTACGGATATATAGAGAAAAGAAAAAAACTTAAAATTGCCAGAATTTAGCGCGTTTTTAGATAGACAAGCAAAAGGTTTGAATGATATTGTTGTGATTCTAACTGTAAATCTGCGTTGCAATCAAGGGTTAACTTAAAATTGCGTTAACATACTTGAGCACTGAACATTGAACAAGATTTTTTTCATGAAAATCCAAAAACTCAATTTTTTCTAACTCTATTAAAGAAAGATTATTATTGTTTAGGCCTAGTATTCTGATATTATTGTTTAGGCCTAGTATTCTGATATTATTGTTTAAGGTATAGTATTCTGATATAATTGTTACGGCCTAGTATTCTGATATAATTGTTTAGGTCTAATTTTCTGATATTATTGTTTAGGTCTAGTATTCTGATATTATTGTTTAGACCTAATATTCTGATGAGAAGACCCCTGGGTCCGGACAGTCTGGTAGCCAAGGATCTTCCCCCTAACCAAGTTCCACCTCCAGGTTAAATATTTTGATATATTTATAAATCTAATGTCAATATATTTCATAAATCTTATTTCAGTATATTTCATAAATCTAATGTCAGTATATTTCATAAATCTAATGTCAGTATATTTCATAAATCTAATAATATCAGTATATTTCATAAATCTAATGTCAGTATATTTCATAAATCTAATATCAGTATATTTCATATATCTAATTTCAGTATATTTCATAAATCTAATATCAGTTTATTTCATAAATCTATTATCAGTATATTTCATAAATCTAATATTAGTATATTTCATAAATCTTATATCAGTATATTTCATAAATCTAATGTCATTATATTTCCTAAATCTAATATCAGTATATTTCCTAAATCTAATATCAGTATATTTCATAAATCTAATGTCAGTATGTTTCATAAATCTAATATCAGTATATTTCATAAATCTACATGAACGTAGTAGCACAGTCCACCATGTGGCCTAGCCCATCAATGAACTATTACTGTTAAATAGTACAATCTAAACATGACGGTTGTTATTTAGCTAGGATGGTGCTGATGGGCGTTGTTTTATCTTTGATATAAATAACAAATATACAAGGTGTCTAAAAATAAACAAGGTATAAGTGTCTACAGACTCGTTTGTAATCGGATTTTCGTACAATTTCCGATTTAATTATCCTAATGAAGATTAAATTGATTGTAGATTAACAGAAGATCCCCCCTCTGAGTACCTAATGTACATTTTGACCGCAGAATGTACCGACCAATAATATTACGTATCTGTGTCTACTTAACTACTTGCTTTTATTGCATTATTCCAGGAGTTCTTGAGAGGCCTCCTCTAACCTTTGGAGACAATGTTTACATGCTCAGAGGAAATAGTATAACACTGCCATGGAAACCTGGAAAGGTATATTTCCAATATGTATCTTAAGAACCAAGGTCTAAACATGAAAAAGTTCTTAGTTTGACATTGTAGCATACCAGATTCAGAAAAGGCAATTTATGAATGGACAGAATTAATTTCTTGAATTTATTCTCTCGGTTTTTATTGGTCACAGATTCAAGCTTTTGACCAATGAGACTCTGAAATTCCTGATTCAACTTGCGTGACATTATTTTCCTTGTAAGTTAGTTGTTTTATTTAAATTAAAAGTTAAAACTTCAAAATTTCATAGATGTAATTATTGCAAAATTTTGCAAGATTACTTTGTAGAAACTACGCGAAATTACGGCGTAATTTCGCGAAATTGAAGTTTCGCTAATTATGCGTAATTAATACAAAATTTCGTGAAATTACCTCTAGAAATTACGCGAAATTACGCCGTAATTATAGTTTCGCTTATTACACGTAATAATTACGAAATTTTGCGAAATTCCGTTGTAGAAATTACGCGAAATTACGCCGTAAATGCGCGTAATTATAGTTTTGCATATTACGCGTAATCATTACGAAATTTCGCGAAATTACGTTGTAGAAATTACGCGAAATTACGCCGTAATTACGCGTAGATATAGTTTCGCTTATTACGCGTAATCATTACGAAATTTCGCGAAATTACGTTGTAGAAATTACGCGAAATTACGCCGTAATTACGCGTAATTATAGTTTCGCTTATTACGCGTAATCATTACGAAATTACACGAAATGAAAATTATTACGCGTAACTGCACGTAATTACGCGTAAGAGAATAATCTATTACGTTGGAAACCTTAAATGAGAGTGGGCAGATTGGGATCACATTATCAGAACCGATTTAAATTGCTTCATTTCATTCAAAAGTGAACAATGAACATCTCGGTATACAATTCAATTGTCAAGAAAATAATAAACAGAAGGGAAATGAAAAATAAAAGCGTAATCAGAACGTTAATTTCTCCTATTTGATTTTATAGAAAAATTTCGGTCGAAAGTTTATAGTGTTAGCTAATCAATATAAAGAAAATTCAAGTACTTATGACCTTTTAAAAATGTCTTAATAGGGGGGGGGGGNGCTGGCATATGAAAGGTAATATTGTGAACAGCTGGCATATGAAAGGTAATATTGTGAACAGCTGGCATATGAAAGGTAATATTGTGAACAGCTGGCATATGAAAGGTAATATTGTGAACAGCTGGCATATGAAAGGTAATATTGTGAACAGCTGGCATATGAAAGGTAATATTGTGAACAGCTGGCATATGAAAGGTAATATTGTGAACAGCTGGCATATGAAAGGTAATATTGTGAACAGCTGGCATATGAAAGGTAATATTGTGAACAGATGGCATATGAAAGGTAATATTGTGTACAGCTGGCATATGAAAGGTTATATTATGATTCTTTTAATTGTTTCAAAAACTTATAAATTTCATATTTTGCCACAGACGCAACTGTTTATCTCACTTTTCTTCGATTTGTGATTGAATTGTATCAAATTACAAATTTGAGAACAATTTTGACATCTGTATTAATCGTAATTAACAATTTCCGATCATATTTTTGATCTTCTTAAAGTTTAACTTAATTAAAACCAAGGTTGTATGAGTTGTATAATAAGGATGGTTACTCTCGATGCGCTCTAATGTACGGAATATGTCGTCTTCTAAGATAGATAGATAAAACCTCATATTACGTCACTGATTATGAAGGCGAGAGTGACGTCATATGAGTTTTTATCTATCTTAGGAGACGACATTTTCCGTATATTCTAGTGCATCGAGAGTTACCAACCTTATGCAATCTTGATTAAAACTAACATGATGATTCTGTATAGTGCTCCAACAGTACGGTTAACTGTGAGTACCCGGTGTATAGCCCTGTACCGTGAGAAGTCTGATGATCTCGGAGAGTTCTACGCCGGGATAATTGCTGAGCCACCCAAATCCTTGAATAACAACAGATATCTTGTCTTCTTTGATGATGGGTAAGTTCTTACTACTTGCTTTAAAAACTAATAATAATAAAACTAACCTAACTCACCATAAAGTAATCGTTTAAAATTATTTTTTTTTAGTTACCAGATATGTTAATTGTACAATTGATTAGATTTTCAGGGTTTTTACATATGCTTTATTGATTGACTGCTAGATATGTGTAATGTGTATTGCTTGAATTATTGATTGATTCAGGGTTGCCAGCTTTTAATCATTCATTGCAAGACTCATTATTGATTTAGTACATTCACTTCAAGTCTTGGGTGTGGAGAGTAGGACGTCCCTAAAAGACTGATTTTATTTGATAATAACCAGTTGATTTTCAGGGTTGCCAACTATTTTTATTGCCCAAATGATTGATTTGTCAGGATTGCCAGTTAAGGTTAACTAGCTAAATTTCCAGGGTTGTCATCTATGTTTTAAATGGTTGATAATTCAGAAGGGGGGGGGGCAACATGGGGGTCTCTTGTAGATTCCAGTTCCTTATGTTCATAATCATGCTTCAGTTCTACTCTCCAGGAATTTAAAGCTTTTAATATTTGTACTTGTTTAGGGTTGCTAGATATATAGAACATAAGGATATTCGAGTTGTTTGTCAGTCCTCTCCTGACGTATCTGATGATATTCATCCAAACTCTAGTGATTTCATCAAGAACTATCTCTCCCAGGTAGTTATGTGCCTTCGTTTGGCTCGTTTTCCCTATAATTTCTTTCAGGGCTAAAATAAGAAAGTATAAGAAAGACAAATATTTCCTAAATTTCATATTCTGAACATTCGCTTTTCTTACACTATATTAAATATTGACCGTGACAGAAAATAAATGCAAAAAAACGATCCAAAGACGATGCATAAACGAACGTGTTCTAATGATCGTTTTTGGTTCGTTTTTCAAATTTATGTGTTTAAAATACAGTTTCTAAATTTTTTAAGTTTTTTTTTTGTAATACGATCCAAGACGATTAACAACACTATTCCCAGGTTACTCGATTGGCCGAGGGTGTAAAATTTTTTTTTTTTGTTAATTTAGAAATCTTTTGTTTTGCATTAGTCGTTGTAATCCTAATTGAGCCTCCATTTAAAGAGGGTTATGCACTGTTCACAATAGTACCCAAAAATCTTTATCTTTATTGGTTGAAAATTGTTTCATTTTTAATAATTTCCTGATTTCTTTGGCAGCATAAATCCGCAAGTTATTTTTTTCAGTAAAAAAAAAAACAATTAAAATGTCAGTTTTTAATGAGGAAAACATGGGCATTGGGCATTTCATTCATTTTTTATCAGAAAAAGCCGTTGTGAGTGAATTGGACATGAAGGACATGATAAGGACATGAAGGACAAGTAGTGAATTGGACATGAAGGACTTGAAGGACAAGAAGTAAATAGGACATGAAGGACATGAAGGACATGACGGACATGAAGGACAAGAAGTGAATCGGACATGAAGGACATGAAGGACAAGGAGTGAATTGGACATGAAGGACAAGAAGTGAATCGGACATAAAGGACTTGAAGGACAAGGAGTAAATCGGACATGTCATTTTTAAATGATGGGTTGATGAGTTTGGAGAAAGCTTAACCTCCTAAATCTATCTGTAGAAAATAAGTTTCTATTGTTTAGTACCCTGAAAGACCGATGGTAAAACTGTTTGTTGGCCAAGTTGTGAAAACTGAATATGACGGAAAATGGCATATAACTAGGGTCAAGCAGGTAAGGTTTAATAGGAGACAGTTGTGAATATTTATTTTTAATGCAATAATTTTTAAGTCAACTGCAGTGGTATTTTTTTTCTTTAAAAACATTACCCTGACTCCTTGAAAATATATTTTCTACCTGTTAGGAGGTTTGCTTAATATTTTTAAGGTTTTTTTTCAAATACGAAAAGCATTTTAAAATAAGTTTCCTAAATGGCCCAGCCATTTTACCGTTTATCCCAGCATTTTTGGCATTTTTCAGCCATTCTCAGCTAAATTGGGTTATCTCTAGGGCTGGGCAAAGTTCCGTTAACTTAATTCTATAAATTAGCTTCAAGTCTTTTTGACAATTCTGTTTTTCTGAATATCCATTTTCTCCTTGCATCATCCATTATGTTCAGCTAATTTTGAAATAGACCAGGATATAAACCCTGGCCTGTAATTGTATTATATTTCCAGGTTGATGGTAGCCTGGTGAAGCTCAGTTTTGACCAGGATGACCGGGTAGAATGGATTTACAGAGGAAGTACCAGGTTGGGTCCTCTCTTCACGGAGAGAGAGAAGCAGAAAATTAGATTAGAGCAGGGACCAAACCAGGTCAATAATATACTTTTTTTCAACATTTATTATTTTCCCAAAATTTAATTTTTTTTACAATATATATAAAATTAAATAAAATAGGTGAGAGAGATCCCTTCTCTCCTTCTTTTTATACTGATTCCCAGTGTATGTGGAATTTAAGGATTCCCATTTATTAATAAACATCAATAAACATGGGTTTTCAAAAGTATTGTGCCATATCATAATAGGGATTCTGTACAGTAAGACCCATTAAGCTTTTGACTAGGAAGACGACGTTTAAGTAATATTGTGCGTATTTAAAAATCAACATGGTCCAACTATACTTATAATACTCTTGATTTTACCCCAAAAAATAATTTCATCATTGATTTTTTGTGATTTCACCTTCCAATATTCCAATGATTAGGTTGCAAGGCGACATAGAAGAGAGAATGCACCTTTGATAGAGTATACAAGACAGGTATATTATAACACCTTTGCTAACTGGTTTTGTCTCCCCCTTAATTTTATGAAACCACAAATTTAAAATTTTATCAATCGTGCGTCCAATTTAACCAAAAAGGCAAAAGTATGTTGAGGACGCAGAACAATCAATTGTAAAAGCATAGATCTGAGATATGTTTTCTTTGAGGTGAATGATGCAGATCTGGATGCTGATGGGGCCCCGGTAAAGAAGCAGAACGTAGCAAGGAAGTCTATGGGGAATAGGTAACTCATGAAAAGATATGTTTAATTATATAAAAGGGGTTTGATCCTTTTTTACCTATAATTTATTTAATTATAATTGGAAATTCTTTTTAATGGATTACATATTCTCGAAAACTCCTTTGGAAAAGGTTAATTGCGATTTTGGTATTCTGAACAGTGTGTTTTCTGTTTCCCTTAAACTATAGAAATAAGTAGAAAATTTCAACATTTTTTCCAAAAGTATTTTTTGATCTTGAAAAAGTGGTTTGTTTAGAGACAGACGGAGTGATAACAATGAGCTTGTTAGCTCCAGGGAAACTGATGGTAACACACATAAGGTAGTACATTTTTTTTAACTTTAATTTTAACAATATTCTTGAAATAATTATATTTATTGCGTTCAAAATACGAAAATTGTAGGTTTGATACTACTTCATTGTTATATCTAGTTCGTAGTATTTTCGCTTATCGGTAGATTATTTTCAAATTTTATTTTGATGATTATCGGCGTCCAAACATAGAAGTATAGAAAAGATTATTAAGAAAAAAAATATTTCAAGATGTTACATTTTTGGCTTTTAATATTTTTTTTATCATATGTGCTTGTTAGATCCTAACCATATTGGGTTCCTGGAACCAATAAAGTTTTGCTCTCCAAACACGAACCTCAAATTCCAACTTGTGAGCTCCCACCCTTGAATTTACACTCAACTCTTAGCTGGGTTAATTCATTGGACCTTAAATGGAAGGGAGCTCAAGCCTGTAATATCAGATTAAAGGTTTCCCATGATGCCCTTGAAAAAATATTTTTAATAAATCTTTTTGTAGAAATTTTTAATATTTTTTATAGCTTTATTTTCTTTTCTTGATTTGATTTTGCAGAAGTCTGTTGCAGATCAAACGATCTTCCGGAAGTTGGTTTTTTAGTCCTTAAGTCTTACAATGCTAGTCTTGCATTCTGAATCTATCTTTATTAGGCTTTATTTTCATGGTCTAAAACTCTGAAAGACCTAAAATCTTAAAATAAGAATTATAAATTGAGATGAAAAAATATTTAAACGAATACCTTTAATGTCCCCCCCCCCCCGTTCCCTATCTATAGGTGCAAAGTTAGTAACCATTTATCTCTATTATTATAAAATTGATTACAAAATTCTGCAGCCTGGTGAGGTCCTTTCAGGTTAAAATTAAAGTTAATCCTCCAAGAATGTGGTAAAATATTATTTTTCATAGGAAGAAAGTGTAATTATCAAAATTATTTCAGGGTTTTTCTTTCAATACTATAAACATAATTTTGATTATTACACTTTATTTTATGTGATTAAATAAGATTTTATATTTGAAGAAATGACCTAGATCTAGATCTGGGTTTAGACCTAAATACATGTTTTCAGGACAAATCCAGGATCCAGAATCACAACAAAACCTGAGCACTGATTTTTTTACTCAAGTACACCAACTATTGATATTGTTCTAGGTTGATATAAGTGAGAGGCGAGCAAGAGGAAAGCCATATGAAAAACATCAGTGCTCCAGCAAGTATGTATCTATATATTTAAAGTCTGTTTATCCGATCATAACTCAGGAACCTCTGGACCAATTTGCCTCAAATTTTGATTAGGAACTTAATCCACGGGATCCATGACAAAGCGTGGGTAAACAGCGGGACTAACAATGACTATCCAGGGCAACGCTAGGTTCCCAAGCTAGTACTACATAATTTTCATTATTTTTACTATGTAGAATGCAAATCGAAATCTCAATACATTCCATTTTAATATACTCACTCCAAAATGGTATAATGGAAGTAGGATGTTCCTAGAAGTCTAACTTGATTTGATAATGAATGATGTTCATTATTTTTTAATGTCAATTACCTAATACTATTCACTCTTTAAATTTTTCTGGGAAAACTTTACAGCGCCTGCAGACTTAAATCAGAGGTGTATACAAGGGGCGAAGGCACCCCCCCCCCCCCCTCTGGATAAGTAATTCCTAAAATTTTTTAGGGTTTCTCAAGTCCCAAAGTGTGCTGAGCCCCCTTGAAAAAAATAATATTATTTTCAACATAACTGATACTCTTTAATTTAATTGTCTCTTAAAGTTTTGTTGAAAATTCCTTCATCTACATTACCATGGATACGTTTTGACGGTAAGTTGTAACCAATTGGTAAATTAATAGCTATTATGGCTAATTTTGACAAAGTCTCAACCCTTACCCCTATTTAGTTGAATGCAAGGTTCTCCTAATAATAATAATAATAATCAGGTGTATACAGTCTGCCAGATATAAGTATGATGAGGCAGCCCTTCGAGGAACCAATCCACTCCTTATACCACTCATAGTTGGTTGGGATAGACAGGTACTAACCAATCCACTCCTTATACTACTCATAGTTGGTTGGGATAGACAGGTACTAACCAATCCACTCCTTCTACCACTCATAGTTGGTTGGGATAGACAGGTACTAACCAATCCACTCCTTTTACCCCTAGTGGTTAGGATAGATAGATACTTACCAATGCACTCCTTATACCACTCATAGTTGGTTAGGATAGACAGTTAGTAACCAATCCACTCCTTATACTACTCATAGTTGGTTGAGATAGACAGGTACTAACCAATCCACTCCTTTTACCCCTAGTGGTTAGGATAGACAGATACTTACCAATCCACTCCTTATACCTCTCATAGTTGGTTGGGATAAACAGTTACTAACCAATCCACTCCTGATACTACTCATATTTGGTTGGGATAGACAGGTACTAACCAATCCACTCCTTATACCACTTTAGTTGGTTGGGATAGACACAGGTACTAATTCAAATCAAGACAAGTAAAAATAGTTAAAGGGAGTGGCCGGCTATGTAAGGTAGTCCTGAGTTTGAGCACAAATTCGACGTTCAAAACTCCTACTTAGGGGGGTGGATACGTTTTCAGGATTAATTTTTTTTAATTATTTAATAATGATTACGAAAAATAAAGTAACAGTTACAATAATCTAACTAGATGGTTAGGAACATATTTCTCAAAAGAAATTTGTCAATAAATCAATGCTAAAATTGATTATTTCGTTTTCATTATTATATTAAATTTCTTATTTTCTTTGAATTTATTCGCAGATTTCTTCAAATGTCGCCCTTTCAATAATAATTCTAGAAAATCTGCAGAAAATCTTTGTGAATAATGAGAAACCAGAATAATGAGAAAATAGAAACTAATAATTGAACAAGAGAACTTATTTTCGATGATGAGATTAATTTTTATTTTCTCAACATGTTCCTATACATGACGTCTGTAGTTTATTGTATAACTTTACATTTTATGTCGTCGTTATATAATAATAAAAAAAACTAATTCGGAAAACGTATCCACCACCAAAGCAGGAGTTTTGAACGTCGAATTTGCGCTCAAACTAAGGATTTGCAGATCTTTAAAAAGTTTTAGTTTCTTGGATCCGGATCTGCAACGGTTTTAGTTCCCTGAATCCGGATCTGCAAAATTTTAGTTCCCTGAATCCGGATCTGCAAAATTTTAGTTCCCTGAATCCAGATCCGCAACATTTTAGTTTCTTGGATCCGGATCTGCAACGTTTTTTAGTTCCCTGAATCCGGATCGGCAACATTTTAGTTTCTTAGATCCGGATCTGCAACAAAAGTGCCCTGGATCCGGATCCGAAAATTGTGTGCATCAACTGATTCGAAACTAAGTAGCAAATTATCTGTCATAAGAACGAGAAAAAACTTCCTCAAACAAACCCATTTGTAGTTTTGGATATTAATCAAGTTTCTGCATAAAAATAAGAGAACCTTAAATTTTATTTTTTGGTGTGAAAAAACTTGTACAATTGTTCAGGAATAAAATCCGAATCCTGATCCAATTATTACGGGACAAATTTATGATCCAGATCTGGATCCGTATTAAAATGAATTAAATCCTATTCGTATCTATTTAGGAGACCGGTTACTACGGAAAGGTTGGTAATGCTAGAAGATCTAAGAAGATAATGTACACAGCTCCTTGTGGTAGAAGGCTGAGGTAGGGAATTGCTAGTTTTCTATGTACTAAAAAGGAAATAAACCTACGTATTATAAAATTATAAGGATTAGTCAATTAACGTGTATTTTAAATTGTTACAGCCTGAGCTGGAAACTCACCTTTTTGTAAATCTGCAGATTAATTTAATCTTTATTTGATATCCAGGAAAGGAAAGGAACCTGAATAATGATTGGATTAGGAACCAGAATAATGATATGACAAGGAACCAGTATAGCGATATGATTAGGAACCTGGATAATAAATGATTAAGAACCTGTATAAGTATATGATTAGGAACCTGGATTATAAAATGATTAGGAACCTGAAAAAGTATCTGATTAGGAACCTGTATAAGTATATGATTTGGAACCTTTATAAGTATATGATTAGGAACCTGTATACGTATCTGATTAGGAACCTGTTTAAGTATATGATTAGGAACCTGTATAAGTATATGATTAGGAACCTGTATAAGTATATGATTAGGAACCTGTATAGGATAAGGAACCTGGATAAGTATATGATTAGGAGCCTGTATAAGTATATGATTAGGAACCTGTATAAGTATATCATTAGGAACCTGGACGAGGTTCACAGGTATCTGAGAATAACCGGAAGTCAGCTTGAGATAGATTTCTTTATCTTTGATTGGTTTGTTCAAGGAAACAAGATTCAGACGATTAATTTAATTAATCATTCAAATTTCTACAAAAACACAAAACTAAAAATTTAATAAAAATGCGAAAAAAAACCTTTTTTACTATAGTTTGGAAAATGTCAGACATAATAGGGATTCATAAAAATTAACATTTAGAATTTAAAAAAAAAAGAATTTCTTTTTTTTACAAATGTTCACTTTATGTCTATTTGATGTTTATTCTGATGTCATCCTTCAATCCAAAAACAAGCCATCTTGAAAATCTCAACGTACTAATGGTACCGACAGGACCATTAAAGTGAATAGAATGGTAGACCGCCATAGGCTTGACTCGAATCCCTGGATTTTTATTATTATTATTATTATTATTATTATTATCATTTTATCTTGAAAAAATTTGAAATATGTTCTCAATTTTTGAATCTTGATTTGTTCACAGTATTTAATGAGTTTGAGCCAACGCCAAGCCAAGCTAAGCATAAAATCCAAGGTAAATAAAAAATTTTATAATTTGTGACCCATTACCCCTCCTCGAACCACTTCTTGCGCCTCTGCCATATTCGATTTTAAGCGAAGGGTATGATTTAGAAATATTTCATATTTTGTCCAATTTTAATTTCACTTGTTAAGATCAACATTTGTTTCAGTGGTTCTTAACAAATGCCAAAAATAGATCCTATTTCTGCGATAAAAATGAAAAATATGTTAGTTGGTTTATAGACTTTTCTGAAGTCAAAACTTTTTTGTTGTTAATCTTGGGATCTAGTGTAGATCTATATCTTATGCAGTCCTACGACTTTAAATCCTCATTGATATCCCTTGGTGTTCATTTATTCTAAAATTTAAAACAGTCTACACTGGATATCGAGATTATTTAACCGTTCAAGATTAAAGTTATTCACATTCACATCTGTTTTCAGATCTGAGCTACGGGAAGGAGAATGTTCCCATATCCCTGGTAAATACCGTGGACAACTCCTACATCGAGTACGTGGAGTACTCCACCACAAGGATACCGAAGGAGAAAGTGTTTATCAACACAAGTAAAGATTTCCTGATTGGTTGCGATTGTGAGGATGACTGTCAGGATAAGGACAGGTATAATCAGAATTCTTGATTGTCAGGATAAGGACAGGTATAATCAGGATTCTTGATTGTCAGGATGAGGACAGGTATATTCAGGATTCTTGATTGTCAGGATAAAGGCAGGTAAATTCAGGATTCTTGATTCTTGATTGTTAGGATAAGGACACGTATAATCAGGATTCTTGAATGTCAGGATAAGGACAGGTATATTCAGGATTCTTGATTGTTAAGATAAGGACATGTATATTTAAGATTCTTGATTGTTAGGATAAGGACAGGTATATTTAGGATTCTTGATTGTCAGGATAAGGACAGGTATATTTAGGATTCTTGATTGTTAGGATAAGGACACGTATAATCAGGATTCTTGAATGTCAGGATAAGGGCAGGTATATTCAGGATTCTTAAATATCAGGATAAGGACAGGTTTATTCAGGATTCTTGAATATCAGGATAAGGACAGGTATATTTAAGATTCTTGATTGTCAGGATGAGGACATGTATATTTAGGATTCTTGATTGTTAGGATAAGGACAGGTATATTTAGGATTCTTGATTGTCAGGATAAGGACAGGTATATTCAGGATTCTTGATTGTCAGGATAAGGACAGGTATATTCAGGATTCTTGATTGTCAGGATAAGGACATGTATAATCAGGATTCTTGATTTTCAGGATGATATTCAGGATAAGGACAGGTATAAACATATGACTAAAAAAATGGAAATTTTTTTCAAAATTAAATTTGATCGTTTTTTCAGCGTTTCCAAAATTCCACGGGCAACGCCGGGCACTTCAGCTATTTTTTTATATTTTTCTGGTAATAAATTAACTGCAACTTTTTGTAGTTGTGCCTGTCATCAGCTGACTTTTCAGGGGACTAGATGTGATATGTCGGGTAAACTAAATCCTAATATTTTATAGTTGTGCCTGTCATCAGCTGACTATCCAGGGGACTAGATGTGATATAGCTGGTAAACTAAATCCTAATATTTTATAGTTGTGCCTGTCATCAGCTGACTATCCAGGGGACTAGATGTGATATAGCTGGTAAACTAAATCCTAATATTTTATAGTTGTGCCTGTCATCAGCTGACTATCCAGGGGACTAGATGTGATATAGCTGGTAAACTAAATCCTAATTTTGTAGTTGTGCTTGTCATCAGCTGACTATCCAGGGGACTAAATGTGATATGGCTGGTAAACTAAATCCTAATGCTGGATACAAGTATAGACGACTGTACGAGCATGTTTCAACAGGTAACAGAGATATGAGGATAGTTTCAGGGCTTAATTTATAGAGAGATGCAGTTAAATCGCGGAGACGTTTTCAACCTCTTTTCTTGTTCGCCAGTTTAAGCTGAAGAGATCTGGTTCAACTGGGTCTCACTATCAATTAGATCTGGTTCCACTTTTTTTACTTCAGTTTTGATTTGATTAAGTGAAGTTTCCACCGTCACAGCGCGCATTATAACATTTTAAAATTAGAAAGCTAAATTAAGAGAATTACTGACAAAAAATATACTTCACAAGATTTGGTTTGGGTCTGTCCCCCCCTCACTATAGGTTTATAATGAACTAGCTTGGAACCCAGCTCTTCCTTGGAACAATGATTTCTTTACAAGAATCAACCTATTCAGCTGAGACCTTTGAAAGCAGTCTAAAGAACATTCCCGTGGTTCTACTGAGTTTCTCAGTCATAATTTGAGACAAATCGGTTAAGTGGTTCCTGTGTTATGATCAGATATACAAACAAACAGAGATTACTACTTTATATAAATACTGAATATTTATTGTACAGGTATATACGAGTGCAACCAGAAGTGTAAATGTGCAAAGACCTGTTTGAACAGAGTGGCTCAACATCCTCTCAGGAATAAACTACAGGTTAGCTCTCAAGTTTACAATGTCTGATTTATCTCAAATGTTACAAAACATCTGAGTTTAAAAGTAACGATGTGCAGTTTAAATGATAAGTGTTGATAAAATCAATAGTCCATACCACAGTAGTTCAATCAGCATGTCACATGCCTATATAGACGAAAATCTTTTAAAGGAGATTCTGAATGTGTTTGAAAAATGATTTGAAAAATAAATAAAAAACTTAAACTTCAGGTTTTTAAGACGCAGAGCCGAGGCTGGGGAGTCAGAACCCTGGTAGATATGCCACAAGGTAATCAAATTATCTAACTAATTGATCTCGATATACCTTAAGGTAATCAAATTATCTAACTAATTGATCTAGATTCAAACTATCAAACTTANGTATGGGCGCTACGCTCTTCGGTATGAGACGTCTTTATCAATTTTCTCCTTATAGACGCAACAGATAGAAGTAAGATTAGTAGCGATCAAAAGCGCCTTTTTATCGCATTAAGCCTATACCCCCTTTCATTTTTCGTAAACACTCCCTTTAAGGTATTCAATTTAATCAAACTAATTGATCTAGATTCAAACTATCAAACTTATTGATCTAGATTTACTTCAAGGTAATCAAATTATCAAACTTATTGATCTCGATATACCTCAAGGTAATCAAATTATCAAACTAAATAATCTAGATATACCTCAAGGTATTCAATTACATCTTAGATTTATCAAACCAATTGATTAAGATATACCTTAATTAAAGGCATATATATATATATCGTTATATAGGTCGTTGTGCTTTGTCTGTAGGTTGATTGTTAATAATAATAATAATAATAGTATCTGAAATATGGTAAGGAGCATACATCCGAAATACGTCTAAGAGTATATATCTGAAATATGTTTAGTAGTATATATCTGAAATATGTTTAGGAGTATATATCTGAAATATGTTTAGGCGTATATATCCGAAATATGTTTAGGAGTATATATCCGAAATATGTTTAGGAGAATATATCTGAAATATGTTTAGGAGTATATATCTAAAATATGTTTAGTAGTATATATCTGAAATATGTTTAGGAGAATATATCTGAAATATGTTCAGGAGCATTTATCTGCATCTATGTTGGAAACCTGTTTGAGGCAGATGAAGGAAACAAACAAGGACAAAACTATGGAGATGAGTACTTTGCTGATCTTGACATGATCGAGATGGTGGAGAAGAGAAAGGTTAGATCATGGATAGGGCAACTTTATTTTCATTTTCATTTACGAAAAAAAGATTTACGTTTTTAAGCCCCGTTTTGAAAATGTACTCTAGTATATAGTTTTAATTTTAAAAGGGTCGTTGATGTAAGATTTCGAATATTCGGCCTAGTTTTTACACCAAATGTAAGATTTCGAATATTCGGCCTAGTTTTTACACCAAATGTAAGATTTCGAATACTCGACCTAGTTTTTACACCAAATGTAAGAATCGGACGACCCATTATAAAATTAAAACTAGAGCACATTTTCGAGTTGTTTCGTGATTAATACTTAGGGCTAAAAAACGCTTATTCCTGTTATTGGGTCACGCTGTAGTTTATTTGAAAGAAAAAACCCTGGATCCTTATTCAATTGGCAAGATCTATAAAAACGAAAATTTAAGCGAATACATTCGTAAAAAACTATTTTTAAAACAAAACAAAAAATTCTGTTAATATTTTAACTTGAATTCTCACTTTTCAATTAAAGTTCACCGCAAATTTTTGTTAAATAATAAACAAAGAATCTTTTTTCCCCTTAAAGAATAATGTTAACTTGAAACAATATTTATGAGCTGGATACGATGCCAATTTTTTGCCGGATAAATTCAGATTTTTTTCCGGATCTGAATCGATAGAGAATGATTTCTTATTACTGGGTATGTCAGTATTGCATAAAAATGTTGTAGGAGGGATATGAGAGTGATGTCAGTGATGAAGAACTCGAGAAAACTAACTTTTCCTTCACGAAGTATGACTTTAATTATGATCTTGATCTTGATCTTGATCTTGATCTTGATCTTGATCTTGATCTTGATCTTGATCTTGATCTTGATCTTGATCTTGATCCTGATCTTGATTTTGATCTTGATCTTGATCTTGATCTTGATCTTGATCTTGATCTTGATCTTGATCCTGATCTTGATCTTGATCTTGATCTTGATCTTGATCTTGATCTTGATCTTGATCTTGATCTTTATATTGATCATCTTGGTCTTGGTCTTGGTCTTGATTGTCGATTGTTAATTGTTAATTTTGTTGATGATATCATATTGTCAAGAAAATATCATTATTTCATAATTGACTTCTTTTTCAGGGAGAGTTATGGAGGTGGTATTGATGATGTATCAACCGAAGATGAAGATGATAATTCAGGTGAGGATTTAGAATTGAGATCTTGTTGGAGAAATGGATTTTAAGATTTTCGTTGCGCGGTATAAAGGGGGTACATAGTGTCTTCATGTTTTATTATTATCATTTCCTCATAAATATAATTATTATCATTAAGGTGAGAAGAATACGGATAAAGATTTTAACCCAATCTGTAAGTTAAAGAAACCTCCCAAGAACACAGATAGAATCTCAAGGAGTAAATTGCACCAGGTAAATTAGCGGGATTTATCCAACTTTTGGGAATTTGATCATATTGTTACCATTGACGTAAAATTTCATTGGAAACCAAAAAATACATCAATTTAAGTACATGGAAGGGTTCGTGCAAGCATCTTGAAGTTTGTAGAATTTAAGTTGTCGAAATTGCGATATAATGTCTAATTTAGAGCCTCTGTTCTCTAACTTTGTAAAGTTACCAATTGTAAAAGAAAATTTTATTTTATTTGTTTCTCATTTTAAAGAAAAAACCTTTGATTTTTCCTAATGAAGAAATTAAACACTGAACGGAAGAGATCGGCGCGTTCGCCTTTTTCACAATTTGTTCGTCCATCGTTCGTTAACGACTTATTTTGTTAGTTTTTTTATTCAGTGGTTGAGCAAAATATGAATTCGTTTGTTTTCAGAGTTATCGTTAATTTTCCATCTATTTTGTTTGTCTTCTGACTGAACAATTTTTCAGGTAGATTGTTAGTGGGTTTTATTTGTCAAAAGTTTGTTCGGAAAATTCGCTCGTTTTATATAAAAGTGATTGTTTTTCAAAATTTAGTTTTAAAAATCGTTCTTTAGTAAAATAAACAATCTTTTTTTCAAGTTTGTTTGAAATAGTCATTCGTTCAGTAACAAATCTTTGATTTCTTAGGTTGATGGGGTAGGAGATTCAGACTCATCTAGTGACTCAGATAACCAGCCTAGTGATACAGATATCCACCCAATTCCTGACCAAAGGGACACAAGTTTTTAACACACTTTCTGTTAACTTTGAAATTTTAATCTTTTAAGTTGATGGGTGGGGGGGGGGGGGGGGGTAAGAACTGTGTTTCCGGGTATACGGTTTATTTTTAATAGTTACGTTTTCCAGAATCAATTGAATATCTCTTATTTCCCCTTTTTATTTAGGGGAAGCCCAAATTAGTCAAACTAATTATAATTTGATTAATTCATCAGCAAAACATTTTAAAGTTTTATGCAGTGATATTTTATGTAAACAGGAAAAATAATAACAGTGCACCCTAACAACCACCATAAATAAATTCCTTGGAAATCAAGGCAATGGACCAGTTCTATTCTAAGAAAAACAGAATAATTTTAATGAAGACTTAAAAGTCGTCTTTGACATTTGAAAAAGTTTCCGGCATTCATAGTTTTAATAATTAAAAAAAAAAAATTAAATAATTCTTAATATTTCTGGTATTTTTGAAAGAAAATAACTAGCAGACCACTATGAAGTTGGAGTATTTGGCAATAGTCTAGTTGTTCAAATAGTACATCAATTTTCACGCTTAATCAATTTTTTTGAGTGGTTTTGTCGTTGATGTACATGAAATGATATTATGATTTGTTAAGTTTATCCTCCCCTGCGTGTGTATAAGATGTGTCGTATCCAGGGTTGATATAAACTCCTTGATTAAGAAACCAGATCCATTCAAGAATAATATGGTCAGACCAAACCTGGGAGAACCAGGTTCATCTCTTTCTTCACTTCAAAAACTTTACCTCCCATCATTCTCCTTTCTCTTTCACACATTTCCCCTTCCCTACCTTTCCCTTTCCCTGCCTTTCCTCTTCTCTACCTTTCCCCTTCCCTACCTTTCCTCTTTCCAACCTTTCCCTAACTTTCCTTTTTTTACCTTTCCCCATCACTATCTTTCCTCTTTCCAACCTTTCCCTACCTTTTCCTTTCCCTACCTTCCCTCTATCCCACCTTTCCCCTTCCAACCTTTCCTCTTCCATTTTTTCCTCTATCCTACCTTTCCCCTTCCCCACCTTTCCTTTCCCAACCTTTTCCCTCCCGTACCTTTCCTCATTCCTACCTTTTCTCTTCCCAACCTTTCCTCTTCCCTGCTGTTTCCAATCCTTTTCCCTTTCCTTCCTTTAACATTTCCCCTTCCTCTTTTCCTGTTCCTCCGTCCCCCTTTCTCCTTTCTCTCTTCTTGGTCTTTTATTTCTCCATATAGGGAAGGGGGGGGGAGCATTAAAATATATACACCCATGTTCAATATTAAAATTCCCTTCAGCTTTGTTTTAACGTTTATAACAAAAGGTTTCATGCATAAAAAAATGGATATTATTTCTTGGTTTGAAACTTGAATTTTAAAAAAAATGAATAATAATATTTTTTCTTGAAGTTGCTGGACGGGGACCTGAAGTATATGTTCAGCATCCTGGACAAGTTGACGGTGCAGCAGATTATTCAGGTAATCAGAGGCCGAAATTAAAGATTTTGAGCCGTGGCTTAAATTTTAGATCTGCTCAAATATGGTTGGTTCCACTTAACATCGTATTCAATGTTTCAAGATTTAACCCGATGCTCAATTATAACCGGTTTTTTGCGGATTTGAGACGCGGCTCAAATTCACTAAATTCGGACTCAGGTTCATAACTTTTGTCTCAGATAGCGCTAAACTACAATGCTGGTTTCGTAATCAGTGACCATTTTTATATGAAAGGGACTATAAGCCTAATTTCGAGTGACCCTCCATGAAAACTCGAGAACGATTTCAATACCCGATTCACAACGGTATTATTGTTACTATTTTGGAAAGCGCTTACCTTTTTTTTAACCTGTATTTTAACCTGTATTTCAACCTATATTTAAACCTGCTTTTCTACCTATATTTAAACTTGTATTTAAACCTTTATTTAAACCTATATTTAAACCTATATTTAATCCTGTATTTGAACCTGTATTTGAACCTGTATTTAAACCTATATTTAAACCTGTATTTGAACCTGTATTTAAACCTGTATGTAAACCTGTATGTGACCCTGTATTTAACCCTGTATTTAACCCTGTATTTAACCCTGTATTTAAACCTGTAATTGAAACTGCATTTAAACCTGTATTTAAACCTGTATTTCCACCTGTAGATGATGAAGAGGATGAGGATGCGAGGAAAACTAAACCTGGATTTACTCCCCTAGCTGGTATACAGGGACCTGGTATCAAGGTATGAATTTGGTATAACACAGCTGAGATCTCATCAGAGCAGGAGATTTCATTAGAGTAGGATATCTCACAAGAGCTGAGAATCTCAGAAGATGTGGACCGGATCCGGATTCATTTTTCAAGTGCGGATCCAGGATCCGGATCCACATCAAAATTAAATTGCACTGGTTTAAATCCTGTCATTAACCATAAGTCCCATTTTGTTTAGAAAACATTCAAATCTACTCGGAAGTTCTTCGGGCACAATGAGGAACCTTATATCATGGATGCCAAATCTACAGGAAACATTGGAAGATATCTCAACCATTGGTGAGTAGGGGTATAATAGTCTAGGAATATCACTGAGGTCTCATTTATACTTTTTTGTAGCCCTCTAGGCCTATACATTTTATAAATTGCAACGCGCTTTTATAGCTTAAGGAGTAATTGGCACAATACTGCTCGATTTTTGCGTGAAACCGTGCACACCTTGGTTCGCAGTTTTATAAGAGTGCAAGCGTGTGTAAGCGTGTAAGGGTATAAGGGTGTAAGGGTGTACGAGTGTAGGAGTGTACGGGTGTACGAGTGTACGAGTGTACGAGTGTACGAGTGTACAGATGACTTTCTAGACCTCTGTTTAATGGTTGAGTAGAAGTGCAGTTTAAACTGTATGTTATTTTCGAAAGGAAAGCAAACAATTTAAATTGAAAAAATGATATATGTCAATCTAAATTTCTTAAACTGCCTCTTTAACTCCTGTTTTGGTTTAGTTGTGATCCGAACTGTTTTGTGCAGAGTGTATTCGTGGATACTCATGATCTCAGGTTTGTATTCAGTTAAATATTTAAATTATGTTATCAATATTATAATTCTCATTTAAAGGGACTGTAAGCCTAATCTCAAGTGAACCTCTATGCAAAGATGGTGTGACTTTAGTAAAATCATATAAAAATCCTGTCTCCATAAAACATTGTTATAATTTTGTTAAATAGCCCGATTCACAATGGGACCCTGAACAGCTTTGTCTGAACAAGTATGATATCAATGTTAATAATTTTAAAAACTGATTATTTTCCATTGTGATTCCTCTTTAAAAAAAGACTTGTGCAATAAAGTGTTGAAGTATTTGAATTATCAAAATGAAATTCGTTTTAACCTAGTAAACGCCAATATCTTCAATATTTTTGATCAGATAAAGGTTTCAAGGGTACCGTGTAGAATTGGTCATTGACATCTTTACATGAAGGGTCACTTGAAATTACGCTTTCATTCCCTTTAATATATTTATTGATTTATTCAGAATTCCCTTCAGATTCTACAGATATGGCTTGCTCATAGGTTTTTTAATATTCTGGTTTAAGTAGAAAAGATCAATTTTTTGTAAGTAATTAGTTATACGGGAAGGATGCCTCAAGCAATCCCTGCAAAATATGATTTGATTTGATTTGATTCGATTTAATTTAATTTAATTTGATTTGATTTGATTTGATTTGATTTGATTTGATTTGATTTGATTTGATTTGATTTGATTTGATTTGATTTGATTTGATTTGATTCGATTTGATTCGATTCGATTTGATTCGATTTGATTCGATTTAATTTAATTTAATGATTTGATTTGATTAGATTCGATTTGAGTCGATTTAATTTAATTAAATTTAATCTAATTTAATTTGATTTGATTATATTCAATTCGATTCGATTTGATTCGATTTGATTCAATTGAATTTGATTTGATTTGATTTGATTTGATTTGATTTGATTTGATTTGATTTGATTCGATTCGATTTGATTTGATTTGATTTGATTTGATTTGATTTGATTTGATCTGATCTGATCTGATCTGATCTGATCTGATCTGATCTGATCTGATCTGATCTGATCTGATCTGATCTGATCTGATCTGATCAGATCTGATCTGATCTGATCTGATATCTGATCTGATCTGATCTGATCTGATCTGATCTGATCTGATCTGATCTGATCTGATTTGATTTGATTTTTATTTATTTAGATTTCATTGGGTTGCATTTTTCTCCCAGACGTTTATTCCTGCTGGGACAGAGTTAAACTGGGATTATGCTTATGAGGTCAGTTCATTTACAGTACCCGTAAACCTGTGGAATAGGAAGACGACATTTAACAAATTTAATTGTTTGTTTTTAATCTTTGTGAAGAAACAATCTCAAGAACTGACGAGGGTCAACCCAGACCGAAATATATTTTCAATAAATGTGGAACTAACATCTACTTTTTTACTCTACAGAGGTTTGGTCCATCACCATCACTGAATTTTAAATTTAATTGTATTTAGTGTATTTAAGCAAATATTTTGACCAGCACATTAAAAGGGAAACATGAGTTTGTGTACGCAACAAAATTTAAGTCAAACAGTCCTCTTCTTATTACACAGGTTCAAGGGTCGCATCAGCAAGATTACTCGGCTAGTTCTTTAAACGAATTGTTAGTGTTCTTTTGAATGCACTTTCGACTATATATTGTTGATGCAAATAAATTTAATTTTTATTTTTAGAAAATTCGTTTTAAGACACTGTAGACGTAATTTCAAGTGAACTTTTCTTTATTATGCATGTCCGATTCACAACGGTACCCTTGATGGAATAAATGCTTTTAATTCTTAAACTTTTTAACTGTGGTTTCTTCCAAAATATTTATCAGATATAGGTGAGGTGTCTGGTGAATTTGGCAAGACCCTCTTTAAATGGGGAATCACTTGAAATTACCAGGACAGTCCCTTTAAGTAAAAAATGCGCAGATTCTTATTCATTTTACTTTCAAGCAAGATATCTGAAATTAATGTCACCAAAATGTATTTTTTTGCCATAAAATTATTTATTTTAAACGTTTTAGTATAAATTTAAATCATTTAATTCATATTTTTATTAAGGATTAGGATTATAGGATTAGGATTAGGATTAGGATTAGAATTAGGTAGTTTTGGACTTATTTTAGGCTTGATGTTTTTTTATTTAGGTGGATACTATTGAAGGTCGGAAAATAGACTGCAAATGCAATGCTGCACAATGCCGTGGTCGTCTTCTTTAGACTTGATCTGAGAAGCTCGTCGATCCATTATTATTACTTAATTTGTACAATACTTGTATGTTTGAGTTGGTATATAGGTTAGTATGTATGTATGTATGTATGCATAATAATAATAATAATGCCGGCAACATTAATTTTTTTTGTTAATATTGTGCTCAATCACTAAATTAATAAGTTGTACTTTTTCATAAAAATTAAACCCTGAAAGTTAAAACAAAACTTTTCACAGATCTTCGGCTTCTTTGCGATTGGCTTAGTTGGACATTTTTTATGAATCATTTCCAGTTTCAAAATGTCTGAAAATTCTTCTATGCGAGGAGAAATTTAGAAGTATTTAGTATTTTGTAATTTTTTGTGTTTTGTGGATATAACTAAATATATTTTTCAGCTTCATAAGTCGCTCACATAATAAGAGAATTAGTGTTGTAAAGCCTTTTGCTTCGGTTTTGAAATATTTTTTCTCGTAAAAATGTTGGATAATGTAAGAAAAACAGATGTTTTTAAATTGTTTAAACTTAAAAGTAAGAGAAAACTTATTTACGGATATTCGGATTTTAGTTAGTTAACATTAACTAAATTGATAAGTTATACATTTTCAATTTAAAAATGTTTGCAAAATTAACCCTGAAAATTATTTGCATTCATAAAATGACAGAACTAAAGAGCCCGTAGTAAGCTTAATTTCAATTGATCCTCCATGTAAAGAGGGGCTTTTCCTGATTCACAACGGTACCATTAGAAGATTTGTGCTTTCGTCTAATACAGAGATATGTGTGACGTCACGACGAGTGTGTAAAATATCGAACCCTACTTGTATTCAGCTGCAACTTCCAGAGTGCGCTATGTTCACAACTTGACACAGCGCATGCTTGTGTAAGACTATCGTCTAAAATTGTATAGTTACAGTGAGAACAAGAAGACTACGACTTTTAGACTTAAGTTAGGACTTTTAATAGTCTAAAAACATTGAACACGGTAATTGTGCAGTGTAAACAGATAAAGGAATTGAGTCTGAGCCACAAAATCAGACTTTCTAAATTCTATATCTTGGTAACATGTTGGTGTAAACCTTTGATATTTCAAACTTTGATTATTTGATTTTACAGAATTCATAGTTTGAAATATTTTTCATAGAAAAGGGAAAATATGAAGATGAAAAGATATAGGCCATCTCATAGAAAGAGAAGATTTTTCATAGTAAAGGAAAATTATGAAGATGAAAAAACGAGAACAAAATATCGTTTTGTCTATAAAATGGCCCAGCGCCGAAAATCAGAGTTTGTAGCAAAGGCTCAATTCTTTTCAGTTCTTAAGTGATTCAAGAAGTTATTAGTAAAACTATTTGTATTGTAAAAGCATCAAATATTTCTATTCAACAGTTTCCTGGTTTTCAGTTCATAATTCTTCTTAATTTATTAGTTTGGAAAGCTATAACAACAGTAAGTTTGAGGTTTACCAACCATGTTCAGAAATTGGGGATACGATTACAGGGTGTTTAAAGAAATATTCATTTTTGAATTTAATCTTAGTATTGTATTCTAGGTTTAAAAGGATTTAATTATGATAATTTAAATATTATTTCCTGCAGCACAAATGCGCATTGCGCAAGTCACTTGTTTAGAAACAACAATTAAAAATATTTAGTTTTAAAATCATTTAACATTGGTATCTTACTTATACTTAATCAGACAATTGTCATCATGAGTCACTTGAAATTACGTTTACAGTCCCTTTAGGATACTACTATTGGTCAATACTCAAATAGACTTCTTTTTATTTCTTGTCGTTGAAATCTCAGCCTCAGAACTCCCGCGTTTCTTTCCTCGTTTAGTCGTCTTCGTTTCCTGCGCAGGGTTAACTTCATCGACCCCATTTTTATTTTCTTCTTGTTCAAGCTCGTTCTTTAGTTTTTGTTCCTGTTTTTCCTCCAGCTCCTGCTCCCGGTCGTGCAGTTTCTCCTGTTCCTGCTCCTGCTTAGTTCCCCACCTCCAGAAACTGCATCGTTTTCCCCTGTTTCCACAATGGAAAAATATTTTCCCCTTGTTTTTCCCTTCTTTCTTAACAACTTGCTTGACAGCTATCAAATCGCATTTACACATTACTTCCTTTACTACAATCTGCGCCTTTTCTTCAATATTCTCTGTATGCTCGTTATCAGTACTTTCCTGAACTTCAAGTTTGTAACTATCTTCCTCCTCTTGCATTTTCCCCTCTTCATTCTTCGCTCCAATATTGACATCCTGAAAATTTTCTAGTTCTTTTTTCTCTTCTGGTTTTTCCTGAGATGTCTCCTCTAGGTTTTTCTCTCCTCCTTTCTCCAGCTGCTCCTCCCATTTCCAGAACTTACATTGAAACGCTTTCAGCTTTCCGCACTGGTAGAATACACGCCCTTAATATTATTAATAATAAAAATAATAACTATAAAAATAATGATAATGATAATAATAACAATTATAAAAATAATGATATAATTTATAACCGGAAAACTCTGAAATAGGAAGACGACTTTCAAACTCAAGTTATAACAAAAAGTTCAATGAACATATGAGGTACAGCAATCGTGCAGTGTAATCAGACCCATTTCAGTTGAAATGCGAATTTCTAACTTACTGGTAAAAGTAGTATTTGCATTGTAATACAACCAAGTGCACTTCAGTATTGCTTTAATGTCGTCTTCCTGTTCTACAGTTTTCTTGTTATTACTGTATAAAATTACAAAAAAACACTCCAATAAACCTTTATTTCGTCCCTCTTTTTTGACCACTTGTTTAATAGCAACATCTCCACAGCTGCAACAGACAACATCATCTGATGACAGCTGTAATATAAACTGTCAAAATACCTTATTATACCAGGAACTAACTCAAAAAAAAATTCAAAGGAAGGAATTTACTTTTAACATATTTTTGAAAAGTTTTACTGCTTTCTTGCAACTTTTTATCTTTCTCAAAGATCATTTTTTCTTGTATTAAATCAGGCTGTTAGGGAGTACTATCTATCCACCCCCCAAATTGAAAATGAATTTGTACTGAAGATTGGCGTATTTCTTAAAGTTTTTGGTTTAAAATCATCTTATTAATTCATGTTTTTTGGTGGAAAATGTATTATAAAGGGGTAAAATACTGTGCAAATTTAGGTTAAATTAGGTTTTTATTTTTTCTTAAAATATGCTACAGTGATACCCAAAAATCTTTAGAACAGAACGATTATATTTGAGCATTTCTTTGTGTATTTGACCTTGTTATAAAATTAACATTTTCCCCCCCCCCCCCCCCCCCTTAAAATTAACTTCTTGATGTTCATTGGAATATTGAAAATCCTAAATTGAGTCTAAAAGACTTTTTCCTATTCCAGAGTTATATATTATATATACTGTATATTATATACTGTACTAGTTTCAAATATTATTAAGTTTTTAGACCTGAATTTGATTCTCCCATTTAAAGAATTTGTGACAACCTGGCTCTTTAGGATTTCCACACTTTACATACCTAAACTCAGAGATACTTATTTATTCTATAAATACAGCCACAGAGATTTATAAATTTATGTAGACATGCACCACAGGCCTACTGTTTGAATTTTTAAACTGATTCAATATGTATAGGTGGATCTGTTTTTAAGTTTTTAAGTTATTTTTTTTTCTTAAAACCTAAAACCTAGATGATCATTTTAGGAAAGTAAAGCAGAGTCTGGGAAAAGAATTATGATAGCTGAGAAAAGTTTTTGAGATTTTTGTAAAATAAGAATTTTAACATTTATTTTGATGAGCCAGTTGTGAGCTATGATGAGCCATGGGAGCTGCCGACTATAGTAGTTTTGAATGGGATTCAATGTTCGATCCGATCATGCTACTTCTGGGACTGAGTCCTAGTAGCTATCAAGGATATAATGTAAGGAAAGTTATTTCAGAGGTGTACGTATCTTTTGTACTGCAGCGTACTGTCTCTTGGCGATAATGTAAACACAAGACAGATGTCGAAGCCTGACATGGGATCGATCTTTCACACAAAAAATCAATGAAATATTCTGGTCATAGGAAACTATTATGTGAATTATCAAAATTATCAAAATATAATGCTTTTAACCTCCTCGAATACTTAACGAACACTGATGCATCTATTCTTGTTTACAAATTCCGCCCAGAGAGAACTGGTTTCAATATATACGCATTGTAATCGCAACTGCAATTAACTTTCCTTGCATTTTAACCTTGGTAGCTATTTACTTTTCGGTAACATTTTGTGATTGAATTACATATACAGATATTTTTTATTATCAATTTACAATTTGTCTATTTTATGATTATTTCTTAACTTCTTTCTTTACAATAATTTTCGCGGGGTTTCATTTAAAATCCATATTCATTTCTAATTCATGGGCAAAAAAAAAATTTTACTTTGTCAAAGAAAAATATTTTTTTTTTTAATTCCACGGACAACGCCGTGCACTCCAGCAAGTATTGCATATATTATATAATCAGGGCCGGTTAACGGATGGAACTTTAAGTGAATATTGTATTTAAAACTATACTTTTTTCTTATTAAGGTTTTCAAGGGGGATGAATCAATCAAAAATCACTTACCTTTTTCCTTGGTTTTCTCCATTTTGAACCTCCCTAACCACAGTAGGGTTGGAACAATGAACACACCTAATATTCTAAAAAAATATGTTTAATCAATGACAACTTCTTATATGGTGTTTATTTGTATTTGTCTAAAGGGATAGCGAGTCAGATAACTCTCAAATAACATGACAAAATTATTTGCAAAATATTAACAATTGTGGTTTTTAATTTGACAAAATTAGAACAAATGTCTAATTCTTCAATGACAATCTGAAAGCGCAATTTTGTTATTTATTTGGGGGGGGGGTGATATCTACTCGATATAAAGCAATATTTATTAATACTTATTTTAACTCAAACTCTTAACTAAATGAATATAGAAAAAATATGCCGGTTTAAGAAAGTTTTAGATAGATATTTTTAATCATTCAGAACAAAAAGTTTTATCAAAATTAAACTTTTTTAGGTTTATTGGACGTTTTCAAAAAAATGCAAAAAAAATCATTTCTGACACCCCTAGGCTTAGTAAGTCAATATAATTCACCAAAACCATACTGCAGTCCTTCAATTATCATACAGGGAAATTTTCATCTTTCTAAACATCCCAACGAAAGATTTGACAGGTTCTTTCGGGCTCTGTATACACATGTACACCTGTACACCTGTACACCGCACAATTCATTTTTTTCAATTTTATTGGACTATTTTAAGATTATAACTAGAGTTTGTCAATCGTTTATCTATTCCACAGTTTTTGGGGTTTTACTTTATAAACTTGTACTTAAACTACTCAATATAAGACTGCACTGCAGATAAAAAAATAATTCACTTTGTTGAATATTTAAATAGCAAGCAATTAACTTATTTATTAGCAAACTACCATGCATTCAATTCATTCTTGAACACAAAATTTTCCTTTAAAAAACATGGGCGGCTAAAATGTTTCAGAATTAGCAACATTCTTAAAATAGCATCTTTTTATTGAGTCCAATCCATTATGTATAGAATACTTTTATTTCATAAAGTTTTCATAGAAAATCCCTTATTAAGAATTCATCATATAGTTCTGTAAAAAATCTAAGATATGTTAACAATTTTAACAGTAAAGACTAAAGAACCTGAAGCTCCATATCTGCTCGGAACCTTCATAAAACTAACTCTAAAACTGTTTACTTATTTTTTCAAGGGGAGAAAGAAGCGGTAAAAAAATATAAGTTTGCCAGAAATTATTCTTTTCCAAGATGAAATTTTTTTTAATTGACTGAATTTTTTTTTGTGGTGAAGTATTTGTAAATAATACAGATGAACATTTCTGTTTAAGCTTTAAACAAACAATAAATAAAAAGATAAGATTTACAAGTTTGCAATCCAAAATTTACGGTTTTCGGTAAAGAAACTTGAGAGAAAAAATGAATTACCTCTGCTTTGATAATTTCTATATTTATTTTTGAAAATAGTACTGACCCAATCAAAAGATATTTTAATAATATTTTGGGTCAATAACTCAAACTTTGTTGGTTTCTTGTTAATTATTGTTGAATTATTGTTTTACAGTTAGTTTAAAATAATTCTAAGCTTAATATGAAAGGTAGGCGTATACAGGGGGCGAAGCCTCCGTCTACCCCCCCCCCACCATTGCACAAATTCCTGTATACGCCCCTAATGAATATGTTGACTTTTAAAGGGAGTGACCGGCTATGTAAGGTAGTTGAATTGAGTGTGCAGTTTGGAGACAAACTCAAACTCAGAATTTACAGATCTTTAAAAAATTTAACATGCCTCAAATGAATCCGGAAGAAGTTTTCCATAACAGTGCATACTCAGTTCATCTACCTTACATAGCCGGTCACTCCCTTTAAAGATAAAGTTTTGTTTCCAGGCAAAGCGCGCTAGGTTCCCAAGCTAGTTGAAGAAAAAATGTTAGGATTCATTACGATAGCAATAAAGTAAAACATTATAACTTTTTTGTACTTCTTATTTGTAACGATTTGATATAAGTTTGTAGTCCAATTTTTAGGTTTTTTTTATGCTTTTTGTCCACCGCTTTTGTTCAAGTTCAGACTACAGAGTATCGTGTATTTTGAATATTAAATATTTCCATCATTCTTTCATGGAGTAAAATATCCGCAAGTTGCTTTATTAGAAACCCCATATCTTATATGTTCTTGCTCAGACTAAGGTTTCAAGGGAACCTTTTTGAATAGGACATGTCATTGTCACAATATCAATGCCTCCACTGTTCAGTCCCTTTATTGGAATGCAAGTAACCTTATGAAATAATTTAATCTAGCGTTAAGAATTTGAAAAATCAAAGATTTGCAACATCAGGTTGCAAAAGTTTTTGTTTAGGATTAGAAAATAATACAGTTTGAGTCGGGTATTCAATTCTTTTAAAGTGACTTTATAAAGCGTAATTCCAAATGACCCTTCATGCAAAGATGGCAATGCCTGATTTAGAACGGTACCCTTGAAACCTTAATCTATTAAAAATGTGAAGGATATCGTCATATTCTTAACTAGAAAATTGTTTTTACTGTATTTTTTCCGTTGCTTCTTATAAGCAAGATACCGCAAATGAAAATGAATAGTCTAATTTTTCAGACAAAGTTTTCAAGGGTACCGTTGTGAATCGAACATTTCCATCTTTTCATAGAGGGTCACTTGATATTCCTTTGAGCTCTAATAAAAAGCTCTGCTCATTTTTCTTGGAGTGCACTCTCAATACTTTTGGTCAACCCTGTTTATTTATAAATTATCTAAATGTTGCCATAATTCCTAAAGATGATAAAGCAATATGGCGGCAAATAAATGTTTAAATTTTAGTTATTTTCTGCTTTTTTATCGTCATGCTTCGCACAAAGAGTTAGAGAGCAAGGTGTATACACTACAGAGTATCCAAAAAATATAAAATAAACCTATTCTGTATTTATTAATTTTGTTTATTTAATGGTCGAAATGTAGATAGGGAGTGTCAAAATAAAAATATAAATATTTTAATATTTTGATATTCTAATAGTTTTTGGAACACTCTGCCTTTTCAACTTGGTACGTACTCGTTCACCTCTTTGCAGAAATTAAAGAACAAATGCTATAAAAAGCAGGTTTAAATCCGTCAATTCTTTAATTGAGGATTAAATCTGAAAGCATGAAGACAGGTTTAGGTAAAGTCTAGATAGAACTAATCTTTCCTACAGGGTGCCTTACGAAACATAGTTGAGAGACGACTTGAAGGTCGTCTTTGATCTTTGAAATATTTTCAATATTTTCTTCTTGAATTAATAATCACCAAATAACTGGTATTTCCAAAATGTGGTCTTCCATGCGTTGACGAAGATATTAGGTCTTTCATTTTATATTCCGAAAATTTTGGTTTAATATAATAAATTGAAATCTAAACGAAATTTTTAATATCTCCGGTATTATTTAGATATTCTCTCAACTAGCATCATGGGAGGAGATTAATCCAACAATCATTTTTCTAGGATTAGGCCTCCAGGGATCTTTCCACACCCTAGTTCTTGCACTTAATTTTAGTCATTTGCGTTCACCGATTTTTCCGTTTTCATGTTTTTTGTGTTTCCAACATTCAACATTTTTGTGAGGCAATATTTTCGGATTCTGACCTAAGTCGACCCACTGCAGAAACCTTGCCCGTGGTTATTTGATGTCTTTTGAAAAATCGGATCCGAACGGTTCAGCCGTTTCGACATTTATTGGATACAAACAGTAGGAAACAAATAGATTGCCAAACCAAATAAATATATTGAACCTAGAAGTTAAATATCCGGTTTATTTTTTTTAGTTTTTGTTTTTGTTCTTGTCGGAGCAGTTTCGGGATTTCGAGGAAACTTTAGAGATTATTACAGGTTTACAAGTTTTAGAAATACATTTGAAATAATATTAACATCAGGTTTCAAAGATATAGGGATTAAAGAATCAGTGTTTGTGGCAAGTTCGTTTTTTTAAATTATATGCTTAGAGAAATTACACCTTGCCAATTTTAAATCTGGGATGCGGTAAACTGATTTAAACTTTTTCTAAAATCGCAAAAATCGGAATTGGTTAAAAGTGATTTCTATCAATCACAGTGTAGATAATATATTCGGTTCGACATCATCATCAGTTCTATAGGAGAAATTTCACCAATAAAGAAACTGAATTTTTGCCACAAACTAATTCCTATATCTTTGTAGTCAGATGTAGACCTTAGACATTTCAAACTATGAATACTGTTAGATAAAAAAGATAAAGTTTAAAATATGGTTTACATTATCTGGTTGCAAAGGTATAAAAAAGATAAAAAATTTAAGTTTGCTAAAGCTAAAGCTATAAAGCTATAGTTAAAGCTACATGTGAGCTATAGCTGGCCAAACGGCTGGACCAAATTGTCTAACAAATTTTTAAACCCATTGGTACCGCGGGGATAGACTAAACAAATTTAATATTTTTTTTCTCAAAATCGAATTTTTATTTAATTCATTTTTTTATTTAAAGTTAAAAAAAATTCTCTCCGAAATGTTAATTCAACGGGCTGCTAGTAAAATATTATTGCTAAAGCTGAGAAAAAAATATTTTTTTTTTAATTTAGGCAAAAATGTAGCAAGGAATCTTGGGATGATATCTGGAGATCAACAGGAACAGTTCCCAATAAACTCAATCAGGTTTTATACTTTAAACCTTTATTCTATTATACTTTGCTTGTCTGTTTGTGTGTTTGTGACCGATAAACGTCCCAACGGCTTATCCGATCGGGCCAAAAAAAATTTATGTGACCTCATGTTTTCCCTGAGAAGGTTTATTAATAATAATAATGATAATAATAATAATAATAATAATAATAATGATAATAATAATAATGATATTAATAATAGAATGTAACCGTTTTCAATTTTCAATTTTTAAAATTCAATCTGCTTTACAAGAATAAATATTAGATCTTTAAAAAATTCATTATTATTATTATTATTATGCTTTTTTTCAGGTTCCCGATGAGCCTTTATACATGGCAACTGCTACTGGTACCAAGATATTTCCAAACCAAACCCTAGACACAGAACAGGTCAAGGGAACAAAAACAAGGGGGTGCTTGGCTTCGAGGAGAATGTTTGTGCATTATCCACGAATCAGAAATTGAAATATTTAAAATTTTTAAAAAGATTTTTGAACATTTTTTTCCAGCAAAAAATATTCTTTAACAGTATCTTTTTAGTTGTTGAAAAGACCTTACTTCAAGTGGAATGCTGATCCCGATGCGTTGTATACACTACTCATTGAAGATAATGATATCGTTCTTCGGTAGGTGACATCAGTAATAAAAAGTCGGAAATAATTGGAACTGGTAAAATTAGATGTATTGCTTTAGATCGCATTTTCATTCAAAAAAGTCCTTCACGTTTTTTGGTGGATTTTCAAGTTAATTGTTTAGCAAGAATCAGTGCTTTAAAAAGTTAAATTCTCAAGTACGAAAATAGACAATACCTTATAATTCTTGATATATGTATTGTAAAGTTATAATAAAATAAGTATTGTATAGCTGTAATAAAAATTGACTTTTGAAGATTTATTTTTATTTTTAGACCGATCAAGTATGCTCATTGGTTGGTTACAAATATACCAGGTAAACTTTATTTTATTTATTGAAAGTGTCGAGTCATATAATTCGATTCAAGCAAGGTTCTCTCACTCATCCGACCTATAGAGAAAACTGACCCAAGGGGTTTCTTACTGAAGGATTTTACAACAATACGAAGTTTTGATGGCTACATAATATTTTATTTTAAATTTCTCGATAATTAGGTTTGATTTCTTCAGGTCAGTTTACATAGCATCCATTTTAAAGCTTTTTTGTTCACTATAATATCTTATCCATGGGTTTTCTAATAAACCCAGGTTTTTTTATCCCATTTAAGTTACAAAATCTAAAGTACTTTGCTCTATAACTTACAGAGATTAACAAAACTTATTAATAAATCTCCTTCAAACAAATTTATAAATGAAAAAACTCAACTTTTGAAAAATTACACTATTTTTTCAGTTTCTATTAGTTTTAGAGTCATGGCGTTGTAATCTTAATTGTTTTGATTCGGTTAATAATGTAAAAAAAACTTTAAACACTTTTAAACTGTTTTCGGTTGAAGTTTGCTTTTATTAAAGGGAGTGTTCGCGATAAATGAAAGGGGGTAACGTCAAATCGAATTCGATGGTAATCGCTACTAATTTTACTTCTATCTGTTGCGTCAATCAGAAGAAATAAAGTTAAACACGCCTCTATTCCAAAGAGCTTAACAACTTCACAGAGTTACAATATTTCACTCAGATCTTAAATAATTCAATTTAATTCAAAACAAACCATTCAGATATAATAACCTATAATTATCGAATTTATGTCTATGCATTTAAATATAGTTCATATTTCATAATATATTTTATTCAGACGATGTTTTTTTTTGGTCGCTATGTGTCTCTCCCACAAGGAACCCTCTAAAGCATCGAGAGCAGAGACATCTAGCGGCCAAATAATCGTCGTTTAAAGTATATTGTATATGAAGCTAATAGAAAATATTACTAAATAATAACTTCTAAATGCATCGAATTGTATTCGATGATTGTAATATCTGAATGATTAATATCAAATATAATTGAATTATTTACGATCTGAGTGGAACATTGCAACTTTGTGAATTTGTATGGACGCTACGTTCTTCAGTATGAGTCGTGTAGAATATATTCCGTCCTTCAATCTGAATATATTCCGTCCTTCTATCTGAATATATTCCGTCCTTCTATCTGAATATATTCCGTTCTTCTATCTGAATATATTCCATCCTTCTATCTGAATATATTCCATCCTTCTATCTGAATATATTCCGTCCTTCTATCTTCTGAATATATTCCATCCTTCTATCTGAATATATTCCGTTCTTCTATCTGAATATATTCCATCCTTCTATCTGAATATATTCCGTTCTTCTATCTGAATATATCCCGTTCTTCCATCTGAATATATTCCGTCCTTCTATCTGAATATATCCCGTTCTTCCATCTGAATATATTCCGTTCTTCTATCTGAATATATTCCGTTCTTCTATCTGAATATATTCCGTTCTTGCATTATCTGAATACATTGCGTCCTTCTATCTGAATATATTCCGTTCTTCTATCTGAATATATCCCGTCCTTCTATTATATGAGTATATTCCGTCCTTCTATCTGAATATATCCCGTCCTTCTATCTGAATATATCCCGTCCTTCTATCTGAATATATTCCGTTCTTCTATCTGAATATATTCCATCCTTCTATCTGAATATATTCCGTCCTTCTATCTGAATATATTCCGTCCTTCTATCTGAATATATTGTCAGGGTCGAATGTATATGGTGGAGACGAGGTGCTAGAATATATCCCATCCTTCTATCTGAATATACTGGAGAATGGAGAACTAGAAACTAGAGTAACTATTACCAACAGGTACAGTAATATTTGCCTTGCTGTAATTTCAAAGGTCACAAGCCCAGCCAAAATCAATTAATTTTGCCAATTACTTCTTAAATACTAAAGCTAACAACAAGTGCTTTATAGTGTTAAAATGTACATGTAAAGGGCTACAGAAAAAAAATAAACAAAATAAGGCGGTAAACGCTCAACGCGTTGCGATACTTCAAAGTTGACCCTGTCCTAGAAATTGATGAGACTTTTTATAAGCAGGCTGAATCTATGGGGTTGTCAAAGGGACTGAAGGCTTATTTTCAAACGATCCTTGATTTTAAGAGTGGCAAGTCCGATTCACAATGGTATCCTTTGAGCCTCTTCCTGAGTAATATAAAGGAGCTATGTCGTTTTTCTACCATAAAAACTTTTAAGATTCTTACTTTTCCATAAATCGTCTCTCTGTATCAACTTTTAAAGATTAATTGCAATTCCAAAAAATTAATTAATATTATTTATAATGTAGGGTATAACTTGAAACTACGTCCCTATAGTTCCTTTAAGCTATGAACTACAGGGTGTCCCAAAAAACATGGGAATTCAATGACGAATTCGATATCGTCTTTGTTTTGAATTAGCATTGTAATACCTAACTTCAAAAGCCATAATATTATTATGTCTGATAGAGTTTATTTTATGAAAAGGGTAAAAGACTGTAAAGATGTGTCTATAATGTCTCCGCAAGATGAACAGTGAAGACGGACAAGTCTACTCTGTTTGTATATTGTAATTTTCTTGTTTTACTAAGTACAACCGTATGCAGTCAAAACATAAACAAACAAAATGTGAATATAGCAGACGAAACTCTTACAGATTAAAGCTTTCTCAGTAGGTATCACTATACTAAATCAAAGAATTATTTAAAAAGACGATATCGAATTCGTCACTGAATTCCAATGTTTATTGGGACACCCTGTACAATAAAATAAAAAATACCATTTTAGGCATCTTGTACTTGTGTACAAACAGCCGGGGCGGATAAATGTAAGTACTATTTGATAAATTAATTAATTATGATTAAAAAAACTATTTTAACGCAATCAACAAAATTGGGCAATAAAATCAACAGGTCCACAAAATTGGGCAATAAAATCAACAGGTCCACAAAATTGGGCAATAAAATCAACAGGTCCACAAATAATAGAAAGAATAGAATAGAATAGAATAGAATAGAATAAAAAAGAATAAAATAGAATAGAATAGAATAAAATAGAATAGAATAGAATAGAAAAGTTAGAATAGAATAATTGATCATGATGCTTTACAACAGCAGTATGGACTACGGGTTAGTTTATAGAATAGAATAGAATAGAAAAGAATAAGAAAAAAATAGAATAGACAAGATAAAATAGAATAAAAAAGGATAAAATAGAACAGAATAATAATTTTCTAGAGTTTTCTGAGAAATAGTTTTTTAATAGTTTTCTAGAATTCTCTAAATAATAATAATCTAGTATTTTCTTAATATTTCTCAATAATTCTCTTTGTAATAATTTTCTAGAATTCTATAAATAATAATAATCTAGTATTTTCTTCGTAATATTTCTCAATAATTTTCTGAGTAATAATTTTCTAGGATTCTCTGAGTAATAATTTTCTAGAATTCTCTGAGTAATAATTTTCTAGTATTCTCTGAGTAATAATTTTCTAGTTTTCTCTGAGTAATAGTCTAGTATTTCTGAGTAGTAATTGTCTAGTTTTCTCTGAGTAATAATTTTCTAGTATTCTCTGAGTAATAATTGTCTAGTTTTCTCTGAGTAATAATTTTCTTGTATTTTCTGAATAATAATTTTCTAGTATTCTCTGAGTAATTATTTTCTACAGTTAAACCCTAAAAAAAGCCATACATCGAAATTATTAATCAAATGTCGTATTTTTCACTTTCTGATAACGGAATGTTGCAGATATTTAGTTTTTTAATTAAATGATTATATGGAGTTTTTAAAACTGTTCCAGCATATTCATGGCTATTTATTTATTTTCGCAAATACTGAGATTTATGTAAAATAGTAAAAAACCCATTGAAAAATTGTCAAGATGACAATTGATAAACTCTTCCGATGTATTCGTTATTAATGGTTTCACTGTAAGCAATAATATTAATTTTCTAAGCAATAATATTAATTTTCTTAGCAATAACATTCATTTTCTAAGCAATAATATTAATTTTCTTGGCAATAATATTAAATTTTTTAAGCTACAATATTAATTTTCTAAGCAATAATATTCATTTTCTAAGCAATAATATTAATTTTCTATGCAATAATATTCATTTTCTTAGCATTAATATTAATTTTCTAAGTTGATAATGATGTTTATTTTCTTAGTAATAAGTTTCTAGAATTCGCTGAGTAATAATTTTCTAGTATTCTTTAAAGTAATAATTTTTAATCATGATCAAGGTTTCATAGAACTATATTCCGGACTGGATCCAATCACAATGCTTAACATTGTTTACTTGTCAGGGCCCGGTTGCTGGAAACTTTTACAGGGTTGGGTATAGTCCCGGGAATACGGAATATTATATATGCTACTTTTCCGCTTGTTCAGGTATTTATCAATTTAAGAATTTTTAGATTTTTTACCGCCTTTTTGACCAACTTTACAGACCCATGATTCCCCCAACAGCTGGATGGTAAATTCCTTTATTGTAGGACAATTAAGTAAAATAACATCCCGAAGTTTTCGAGAACATATTTTCGGTAAAATTGTGTGAGACTACTTTTCAAGATATTAAAATTTTACAGTCTTTTTACCAACAGAGAAATTAAAATTTGCACTTCACCAAAAGTTCCCTCGACCAATTTTGCTTGCAGAACATCCCAAAATTGGTCTTGGGAATCCTTGGTAAATGAAAATTCCCTTAACTTCCCTGTTGTAAAAAGAAATTTGTTAACCACAGGTTCTCTCGACACACAACTAAGATTTGTTTTGGGACCCTTGGTAAAATAAAATTCTCTTTACTTTCCTGTGAAGTAGGTATAAATAATTATAAATAAAACCATCTTTTTTCAGGTAACACATTCCCAATCCCACTGGCCGGGATTAATGATAAACCGGTATCAGAGTGTTGAATGACAAGGCCCCAGATTTTAAACGACAAAATAGAAGTTTAATTAAATATACACATTATACAATATAGCAGAAGAATCGTTTATTAAATACATATATTTTGACATTCATTTAACAATAAGATATCTTCGCAGAAGTTTGGGTTAACATAAGTCGAGAGATTATTGTATGTTTTTTCTTTACCCTAAAAAGCTGAGTGGGAGGGGAGGGAGGGTTTAGGTGTGATGACAGAGGGATTCAATTGGAGAGGGATATGGCATCTATTCTCTCCTTTCGTAAAAAGGGTAATTTCCTTTTTTGGAATTTATTTGCTGTTATCGCCGATACAAAAAAAATATATGTATATATAATAAAAAATCAACGAACAATAGCAGAACAGGGTTTTGTAAGTTTTATACTTTTTTCATATAGCCGAAACTTCTCAAGTTTTTTCTTTTTAACTTAAATAACTTTAATTGAGGAAATTGAACAATGTCTTTGTCCATCCATCAATCCTCATTGTTGTCTATTTTATTTGAATCTTCTATTTTATGTCAGGGTAACAGTAATTGGTAAACAAACTAAACTAGTTAACCAAGCATTGATAAACTCAGCTTGGTTAATTTATGACATTTAGGTCTTTTTAACTATCTGAAAATATTAAGCTTAGAGATTTCAAGTTTGTCACAAGTTTAGCAAATAAAATTACAACATTTCTGGAGATTCTGAACAACTTAAGGAATATTCTGAACAACTTAAGGAATATTCTGAACGTCATATATATTTACATTGGATCGAAACAACTTTTGAACCAACAATAAACAGACAAAAAACCAAACAATCTCTAAAACATGGTTTTTGTCAACAAATAAATTGTGAGGGCCCCACCATAAGCTTTAAGCCCGTAGCACTCTCTTTGAATTCAATTTTCATCTTTAAGAACTCACTGACTTTAAAGAAAAGTAATTATTGATTTTCAATATTTAGAACACAGAATAATGAATAAATAATACAATTTTAATGCCAAATTTTGAAGTACATTTATTCCATGCAGCGTTAGAGATTTATATATATTATTATTATATATTTATATCACATGTACAGTAAATTAAAGGAAAGGAGGAATCATACAAAAAAAGGTTTTTTCAGGTAAAAAAAAATTCGCTTGTGGCGCGCACCCTACTTATAAATCTAATCTTAAATGTGACACAACATTCCTATCTACGGGCCTGGCGACGCTGTATAAATATTAGATTTTATTTCTTTAACTCTTCTACATCCATTTCCAGGTTGAAGGGACTGTTAACGTAATTTCAACTGTTCACTCTCTTCACAACTATTCCCTTCAAACCTTTGACAGTTTTTTTATCTTAAAATCGATAACTGTCAAAGGGTACCGTTGTGAATCGTTAATGCCGTTTTTAAATTGGGAGGATCACTTGAAATAACGATTACAGTCCCTTTAATATTATTTTTCACCCTCGTTGGTCTTTTCTTTTGTGCACTACTGTTCTTCTAATTCTTTATTTAAGTTATTCATTATATTTCTTCTATTGTAATTCTCCGTTTCTTGATTTCAACACTGTATCTTATTTTGCTCTCCTGGCAGAACAATCTAAAATATTAAGAAATTTATTTTATATTGTGTAAAAATAATCATAAAAAATTCAAATTATGGAATCATTAAAATCATTGATTTATTTTAATGTTCATAGATTTCTTGAAAACCCATCTTTGCCTGGAAACTAAATTTTTCCCACTAAAGTCAACCCAGTCAATTTAGATTCTCTAAACAATGCAAAGAACAGGCAAACAGAGATTGTTAATTTATATTCATAACACAGCTTAACTACTCCTCTTTGCCGGTCACTTTCTTTAAATATTATTTAGATTTAGTAAAAACATGATAAAGCATATGTTACCTAGCTGTTGTATCAGTAAACACTAGACCCCGACCCGACTCTGCTACTTTCTCCTTTATAATAAATTCGTCTCATAAACTTAATCAAAACTGAAATTTGATCAAATTGAACAAACCCGCGCTGGACATGGATTTGCGCACTCAAACAAGAAAGAAAACACTGGTTTACAAAATTCAAAGTTAAGAAGTATACAAATATGGGCCAAATAAATATAATTCAATAAATGGTCTGGAACAAAATTCAACGAAAGTATGACCATTGCTCATATATTAAATAAACTGACTAAAACAGGTATTAAAACAAACGTCTCATAATCATCGCCGTGGTCTTATATGACTCTCAATTTAAAGAGTTGCAATCCAGAATCACAAGGATACACTTAAAGAGTTTTATGCCAGATTCACAATGATACACTTAAAGTTGTATGCCAGATTCACAAGGATACATTTAAAGAGTTCTATGCCAGATTCACAATGATATATTTAAAGAGTTGTATGCCAGATTCACAATGATACACTTAAAGAGTTCTATGCCCGATTCACAACGATACACTTGAAGTTGTATGCTAGAATTCAAAACAAACTAATTAAAATTTTTTATAAAATATAAACTATATACAAATGTGGCTTAAGATAATCGATAATTATAGCTTGTAATATCTGAATGATTTGTTTGAAATTAAATTGATTTTTTTACGTTCTAAGTTGTATGTTGCAATTTTCTCAATTTGTATGGACGCTAAGTTATTCGGTATGAGACGTCTTTAACAATTTTCTTCTTATAGGCGCAACAGATAGAAGTAAGATTAGTAGCGATCAAAAGCGCTTTTTTATCGCATTAAGCCTATAACCCCTTTCATTTTTCGCGAACACTCCCTTTGAAAAGTTGTATGCCAGATTCACAACGATACACTTCAAACTTGTCTGCACAAATGATGGGCTACGTTATTCTTGTTTTTCTGTCTTAAAATTGATCATTTTTAATAGCGGGTTCTAAAAAATGTGACTTTTTATTTCTGCAGCAGAGGCATAGAAGAAAATGAGCAGATCTAACTATTTTTAAGATAAAAAACGACAATATCTTTCTCATTTTTAATCAGATAACGATTAAGGCTAAAATGTCAAGACATAAAACTCTTCAAGTGGAGGATAGAATGAAATTACAAAAAAGGTTAAAAAAGATCAAAGCAACGCTCTTGTAAATACCAAGGAAACACTGGAAAACTTCTTGTTGATCTTTTCTAAAAATCTCTAAAAATAATAAAAAATAAGAGAGATGAATTATCTACCTTTGTTAAATCTAATGACAGAGGTTTGGAAGTATAAGAAAGACTGTCCTCATCATTAGAACTATTTATGGAAATCTAAAAAATATAGCGATTTATATTTTTTTTCAAATATTTATTAGCTTTGAAATTTATTTAAATAAGTAATGACTGTGGCGAACTGAGGGGCAAATTCCTACTCTAAGTAATAGTTATTGGTGTGTAGAAACTTTATGAAAAATTACAGATGCCCGAAGTTGCATCATTTTCACTAATTAAATATTGCTTAAAAAAGAACATTTTTCACATATTTCTCAAACCACAGAAAGCTAATTAGATTTAGATAAGTGTTTTTGACTTTAAACATCGCTTCATTGTTATATGAGTAACTTGCTTTTGTTATTGGTTAGCATGCAAACTGCATGCTACTCATAATGCAACCTGGTGAATTTGAACATTAAAGTTATAGATTTATCAGTCTAAAAATCGCTAGTCTTGGTGTGCACTGTATATTTACATATTTGAATCAAATGCAAAGTTCAATAAAAATCCAAACATTTAAAATGTTTTCGGCCAGCATACATAAAGGAAGCTTAATTTGGTCATACAATTATTTGATAGAATAAAATGTGGGCCAGCATGCCCAATTGCATCAACCTCAACTTTGGCCTTGAAAAGTCATTGACCAAGAAAATATAAATCTATATTTCGGATGATGTTTCAAAACAAAATTAACAGCCTGCATCTAGAGCCTGCCTTATAGAATGCACAATGCACACAGTTCTACTTTTACCTTATAAATGGACTGTTTGATGACAAAAACAAAAGGTTGACATATATCTATTTCTAACGGCTATCATGCAGCATGCTGCATCCCACATGCATGCTGAATGATGAACAGGATGCATGCTGACTAGTACTTTACAAGAAATGGATTTTTTAATACCATACGGGTTACTTCTGGTATTCATTTTGGAAGCATTTACGCACCAATTAATTCTTAAATTTACACTTTGAGCCATGGTGCGACCATAAGCCACAACCGTTTTCCTTTTCATGACTTATTTTCAGCTTATTAGTCTTCCGGGAACCAAGAGCCACAACCGTTCGGACTTCCAAGCTACAAAATTACTTTTTTAAATGGTAAAGGCGGCGTTGCATCTATGACATTGAAGTTTGAATTTAAAACCTTTAAGTCCAATAGGTTCGGGAGATAAAAATCGGAGCCGTCAGAGGTGCCAGATCCTATACATCCAGACTCCGACCGGAGATTTGGAAGATTTGACTTCAGATTCTGTTCATAGGTCATCAAATTAGTGTACATGCGGAAGACGAAGATGTTGTGGCATGGAAGAACGAACGGTTTTGGCTCCTGGCCGTCTCTTTCCGCTCCTAATAGTCCCTTTATCCTTCCCGTTTTTGTTGTTTCTAATTTTTACAAAAGAAATTATCAATACAAAAGATATTATAGAAATAAAAGATTAAATCAGAAATAGTTTTATAATTTAGATCATCTATTTAGACTAACACGTAAAAATAAATTTTGTTCATATAATGGATTAGTATCTTACCTTACAAGTATACTGGTCTAATGGTTCTACCCCCGGGTCCAACTGATACACCCAGATATACCACAATCCTTTGTTACTCCTAGAATACACCCAGATATACATTTATACCACAATCCTTTATTACTCCTAGAATAAACCCAAATATACAGATATACCACAATCCTTTGTTACTCCTAGAATGCACCCAGTTATACAGATATACCACAATCCTTTGTTACTCCTAGAATACACCCAGATATAAAGATATAACACAGTCCTTCGTTACTCCTAGAATACACCAAGATATACCACAACCCTTTGTTACTCCTAGAATACACCCAGATATACAGATATACCGCAATCCTTTGTTACTCCTAGAATACACCCATATAAACAGATATACCACAATCCTTTGTTACTCCTAGAATACACCCATATACACAGATATACCACAGTCCTTTGATACTCCTAGAATACACCCAGATATAAAGATATAACACAGTCCTTCGTAACTCCTAGAATACACCAAGATATACCACAATCCTTAGTTACTCCTAGAATACACCAAGATATACCAGAATCCGTTGTTACCCCTAGAATACACCCAGATATACAGATATAACACAGTCCTTTGTTACTCCTAGAATACACCCAAATATACAGATATAACACAGTCCTTCGTTACTCCTAGAATACACCAAGATATACCACAATCCTTTGTTACTCCTAGAATACACCCAGATATACAGATATACCACAATCCTTTGTTACTCCTAAAATACACCAAGATATACCACAATCCTTTGTTACTCCTAGAATACACCCAGATATACAGATATACCACAATCCTTTGTTACTCCTAGAAAACACCCAGATATACAGATATACCACAATCCTTTGTTAGTCCAAGAAAACACCCAGATATACAGATATACCACAATCCTTTGTTACTCCTAGAATACACCCAAATATACAGATATAACACAATCCTTCGTTACTCCTAGAATACACCAAGATATACCACAATACTTTGTTACTCCTAGAATACACCCAGATATACAGATACACCACAATCCTTTGTTACTCCAAGAAAACATCCAGATATACAGATATAACACAGTCCTTCGTTACTCCTAGAATACACCAAGATATACCACCATACTTTGTTACTCCTAGAAAACACCCAGATATACAGATATACCACAATCCTATGTTACTCATAGAATACACCAAAATATACAGATATAACACAGTCCTTCGTTACTCCTAGAATACACCAAGATATACCACAATACTTTGTTAGTCCTAGAATGCACCCAGATATACATAAATACCACAATCCTTTGTTACTCCTAGAATACACCGAGATATACAGATATACCACAATCCTTTGTTACTCCTAGAAAACACCCAGATATACCACCCAACTTAACTCCATTTAAAAAAAATGGAACCAGAATCAGAAAAACTTTTTCAGTAAGATCTAGAAAAAAAGAAAAGAAAAAAACCTGCAGCATTCTCGGTAGAAATAGTTTCCATCAAAATGCAATTGATCAGAGGTCCACATAATATCCTGAAATCAATCATTGATCAGTCTATCAGAGGTCTAAATTATATCCTAAATTCAATCGTTCACCAGAGGTCCAATTGATCCGAGGTCCACATACTATTCTAAAATCAATCATTAATCAGATCTCCACATATATCCTAAAATCAATCATTGATCAGAGGTCCACTAAATATCCTAAAATCAATCATTTTGATCAGTCTATGAGAGGTCTAAATTATATCCTAAAATCAATCATTCATCAGAGGTCCACAGAATATTAAAAAAATCAATCATCCTAAAATTAATCATTGATCAGTCTTTGAGAGGTCTAAATTATATCCTATCCGCATAATATCCTAAGATCAATAATCGACCATTCTATGAGAGGTCTTAATTATATCCTATCCGCATAATATCCTAAAATCAATAATCGATCAGTCTATGAGAGGTCTAAATTATATCCCATTCGCATAATATCCTAAAATCAATAATCGATCAGTCTATGAGAGGTCTAAATTATATCCTATCCGCATAATATCCTAAAATCAATAATCGATCAGTCTATGAGAGGTCTAAATTATATCCCATCCGCATAATATCCTAAAATCAATAATCAATCAGTCTATGAGAGGTCTAAATTTTATCCCATCCGCATAATATCCTAAAATCAATAATCGATCAGTCTATGAGAGGTCTAAATTATATCCCATCCGCATAATATCCTAAAATCAATAATCGATCAGTCTATGAGAGGTCTAAATTATATCCCATCCGCATAATATTCTAAAATCAATAATCGATCAGTCTATGAGAGGTCTAAATTATATCCCATCCGCATAATAATCTAAAATCAGTAATCGATCAGAGCTCAACATAAAATTATCATACTCAAAAACAAAAAATTAAACTAGAAAAAAAACATTCAAGAGCTATAAGTTTCTTAATTACACAATATTTTTAACATTCTTCCTCTGGCAAAACTTTAGAATTAAGAAAATCACCTTCTGAAAGTCCTCTTCGTTGATTATAAAATGACTACTGTACTCCCCTCCCTCAACTCTGAAACAGAATGGTAAAATATATATATGTCAAGAAGGATAAGTATTTCAATATTTTTAACAGATTTTACTATCTCTTTCCTTGTTTGGTTATAGTACATTTCCTTCCTCAGTACCCTCTACAGTCTACATTTATATAATTGACATAGATCCAAATCAAAAAGGTGAAAAAATAATTCATCCGTGAAAACTATGAAATAACATTTCAGGTGGAAAAGTTTTTTAAAGCCACAATGATTATCGGTTAAAAAAAGTCCAGTTCCAAATCGCTAAAAACTCGGAGATTATGTAGTTCAAGATGTCCTCTGGAACTTTTGGTCTTACCTGACAAAATCTTCTGTTTCATGATCGGAATCTGATGAATAAACGTGTTAAAAAACTTTATGATTTAATCTTGAAAAGCTAAACATAATAATGCACACGGTACTTTACAGGAACGATCCGCATCAATATGGTGGGATCCAAGGTACTCAGTTCAGAATTTTTAAGGAGTTAAAAAAGCTTTCATTAATTAACAAATAGTTTCCTAGATGGTTTAGCATACAGGACAAACTGACACGTTGCTGACACGCCAAATCCACACAACTTACTGAATACAGATAAGTTGTCAATAAAAACAATTAATGATAGATTAATAACAATACAGATAGAACACTAGATGTCGTCTTTTCAAGCCCAAAGTAACGCGCATGCCGCGTTGAATGACAAGACAGATAGATAGCATGCGCTTTGTGCTTCTGCCTCAGGGTTATTGTGAACGAAAAACCCCTAAATCTTGTAAAGACGACATCTAGTGTTCTTTCTGTATTGTTATTAATATAATATACTCTGTAGAATTTCAGCATATGTAAATGCTAATGACAAAATGTAATTAAAAAATGGAAAAGTAAGAAAAATATAGAAATAAATAATAAATTTACAGTTCACTTAGCTATAATGACTGTATTTCGAACAATGAGAATTTAAAAAAAACAATTCAACTTTTGTGTTTTTTACCTATTCTATATTTACACTGAGATTCATGTGCTGGCAACAAATATCGCATCACTTCAATCTAAAAAATTCTTAAATCAAGAAAAGAACTTCAAAGGATGAGACCTTAAAGAGGACCTAAACTTCTTAATTCTGAAGATCTGAAGGTAAATTTTTGTCTTTTGTTTTCAAGATGGTCTTAAAAGATGTGCTTAATGATTTGGCAAAGAAAGCAAACAGTTTAAAGCTGCAGGAATCATCAATTTCAGAAAAAAAGGTTGAGAGATTCCGTACAGTCGAGTCGTTGATACAGTCTCATCCTTTGTGGATATCCCTGCAAACCACCGTAAAACCTGTGGTTGTTGTAATCTGAAGATAACTTGTTAATACTACAAATATTAAATCTACAGATTACCCTCATAACTTTCCTACCAGCTGTATCCGGTACATGTGTGTGTTTTGTTAGCATAGTTCTGTAAAACCTGTGTTGGAACTTTGTTGTAATCTGAAGATAATTTGTTAATCCTACAAATATGAAATCTACTGATTAATCCCCCCCATAGCTTTCCTACCAACTGTATCCGGTACATTTGTATAGAAACACGCTCACCGTACAGTACTATTGTGTACATTACTATACTAGTATACTTCAGCAGATTAGTCAGTGTAGCCGACCATCACTGGAGATGGGTTTAACATGTCCCAGAAAGACTAGTGTCCTGGGCCCTGAGCCCCGAATCCACATGACCGTAGTCCAATAAGAGGCTACACAAGTCCCGAGTCCAGAGGCGAGAGTCAAGAGTCCGATATCCATAGATGCAATTGGTATCCTTACTCTAATTGACCCAAGAAATCGTGCATTAAAAGTATATGTCTTGTTAATTTAATTGCACAATTAAATTATATTCTAATCTTCTTAATCATTCAACTGTAACCTAACTCACTATGAAAATTATTATAGATTGAAACGTTGAAATACATGTTTTATAATGTCTTCCATGCTTACAATTTGCTGTTAATTATCTCTTTTAAACAGGCTGTACATCGCCTTAAATAGATTTTACAACCACAAAACTGCTGACCGAAACAAGACTTTAGTTTGGCAAATTTAAGAAACGAAATAAAGAAAGAGACGTATAGCAACGGGGCATCTCGTCCAATCAAAAGTTCCAAGTTTTAAGTCGGTTCCGATTTTGTCAAATCAAAAGTTGCAAGCTCTAAATCGGTTCCGATTTTGTCCAATCAAAAGTTGCAAGCTCTAAATCGGTTTCGATATCGTCCAATCAAAAGTTGCAAGCTCTAAATCTGTTCCGAATTCGATGTTTACCAAAAATGTAAAATAACAAAATATAAAATAAATAAAATACAAGTTAACAAATTTAACTGAGTTAGAGATGAAAATGTGACTAGAGCTGCGGTGGGCGCCATGAATTTCATCTTGGATATATATTATGTATTAAAGAAAAAGGTAGACCTGACAACCATGATCTGAATATTTACAGCTGGCGGGTAGTTTCTCTAGAACCTTCTCAGATACAAGAGATCTAGAAAATGTATTATTTATTATTGAACGCATTGAATATATCTGAACATAATCATATTATCATTGTTTTCTTTATTCAATTCAATCTAAACTTATACTTTGCTAGTCTGTCTGTCCAATAAACGTCAATACGACTGAACCGATCGGTCTCTAATTTTGTGTGGAACCTCACATGGCCCCAGGAAAGGTTTATAAATGATCAAAATTTCTAAAACTTGCTTCCAACAAAATTTGATTTTCATAAAATGTGAAAATCCACGATTTTTAAAAATAAACTCCGCGAACTTTTTCTTTGGTTTCGTTCAACAATGTATACAATGAGAAAATGTTCCCAATTTAAAGAGAAGATGGGTGCAAAGAGCCCTAAAAGCCTTGTATTCAATATTTCTACATATCCCAATTTTTATCTAGAGAGATTGTAGGCGTAATTTCAAGTGACCCTCATAGCAAAGTCAGAAAAACGACGTTATCTTCCACATTTATTATTCAAGGGTACCGTTGAAAATCGGACAGTGCTCTCTTTGCATGGAGGGTGAAGGCGTACCTTCCCTTTAATTCTACGCTCACCTGATATTGCCTAAAACTTCTCTACACTGTGGGCAGGTTGTAACTTTAGGTTTACATTCTCCACATACAACATGTCCTCTAGAAACCATTCATTTAACAAACAATTATTATAGTTAAAGTTGTTCAACTTTAATGGATGGAGTTGTTCAATGCATGGAGTTGGTTAATGGATGTAGTTGATCAATGGATGGAGTTGATCAATGGATGGAGTTGATCAATGGATGGAGTTGATCAATGGATGGAGTTGATCAATGGATGGAGTTGATCAATAAATGGAGTTGTTCAATGGATGGAGTAGTTCAATGGATGGAGTTGTTCAATGCATGGAGTTTATCAATGGATGGAGTTGATCAATGGATGGAGTTGATCAATGGATGGAGTTGTTCAATGGATGGAGTTTATCAATGGATGGAGTTAATCAATGGATGGAGTTTATCAATGGATGGAGTTAATCAATGGATGGAGTTAATCAATGAATGGAGTTGATCAATGGATAGAGTTAATCAATGGATGGAGTTAATAATGAATTGAGTTGATCAATGGATGGAGTTAACAATGAATGGAGTTGATCAATGGATTGAGTTGATCAATGGTTTCCTAGCACACTGATATATTGGTGTTTCTCTAGGTACACGTAAGCATACCGGGCACTCCAGCAAATCCTAAACAATAAAGACTATTAGAGAAATGTATAAAATATGTCAATTTTAATTTCTTAAATAAAAAATATTGTTATTTTCAATGCTTAGATGAGGAAAATGCGTAAAGGGAATTTTTTCTTTTTTTACTTTGTTTCTAAGAGAGAATTCCTTAAAATAATATTTTCTCACATTTTTAGGAGGGAAGGAGAAATGTTCTTTTATACAGGAATTATCTTTTTTTACATTGAATATTAGAAACTGAGGAAAACTGTATAGTAAATATCCATGAGAAACGCAATATTTTATGAACATAATTTTTTTTTTTAGATTAACTTTGAATTATAAGAACCTTAAGAGTTTCTGCATCTATGAGTGTTGGTCCAGGATCAATATCTTTAGAAGGTTTTAACGTTTCTTCTGCTGGAACCTCCTTTATAAGTATAAATACGTCACAAACAAATTACAAGCACCACTACTGTAAATTCGATTTGGCATAAAATAGTTAAAAATGTTTTGAACAAAATATCAAGTCAAAATATTGCTATTATGACTCAATCCCACCCATGAAAAAGTAGTATTTATGGTTTTCAGGCCCTCCCCCCCCCCCCCC